TTTATCCCACGGTCTGCGAGTCTGCGCAGCTGTCGTGTAAGTTAATTAAAGTTTGGGTGCAGCTCGACTACTGATGTGGAGTTGAAAAGGACGGTGCGGGAGACGGAAGGGTGGGGGCAAAGGTGCGACCGAACTGTCTGCATGCATGTTAGCTGGAAATAAAGTAAAGAAAAAACAAAAAAAGAAAGAAAATTGTAACAAATGTAACAACGTAGCCGAGAGAACAAAAAACCAACGACAATACGAAGGAGTCAGACAGCAGGCGCCCAATAACATCGATGCTGCCAAGGCCAGGGTGCGATGGCGTGCGATGGCGACGACTGCCGATCTCCTTTCCAGTTATTGCGTCGTACCTCGTACAGGTACCTCGTACACTGGTCGTGTGGTCCGTTTGTCGTCTGTACTTCGTACATGTACTCCATAGTTATGGTCTGACCGTGCTCGGAGCAATACTTGTGCGGAGCACTCCCACACTTTGCACTTGCAGGGCATTAGCATTAGCGCCGCCTTGTCCGTTGGCGCGCCAAGGGCGGCGGGCAATGTACATCGTACATCTTCCGTGTAAGACGCTCGTTCGGGGCACCGTTTACGTGAGCAGCGCTGATTCCAAAACGCCACGCAAAGGCGAACACCAGGCGCCATCAAATGACAAACACGCTCGTGGGGGAAGCTTGCATGGAGTTGAAGAATCCCAGAGGGACTCAGTATGTGCCAGTGCGTAGTAGCATGTCCAGATGCATTCATGCATACCGGGTAGCACTTTTTGAATTATGTAAGTTTACTAGCTTCAATACCTGCATTTCTGGCTCGTACGCATGCCTTCATTTTCTGAGATGCCATCGGACATTGCCACGTGACTCATGGGCTCTACTTTGTACAGTCTGTCGGGGTTGATGGTGATAACAATGGCGTACATCAGCCTCTCCTAATTCCATTCCATACTGTCTACAGATGAGAAGTATGTGTGCTCACGCTGACACATCCACATATGCTGCATGTAAGTGATACCACACCCGTGAGGGAAACAACACGCCAACTCCCACTGCTGCTCCTTACTCAGCGGCAACATAAGGTTCTGCTTTTGCGTATAAATATTCCTCTTCCCCTCTCGTGTCTCACAACCTCCAGACTTCAAACTCATCAAGTAGAAGCATAAAAGTTCTGCAGGGGTTTTATATCAGCTGAGCGACAAGTAGGACACACACATGGTCCTTGTGGACTGTGGGCTTACAAGAGAGTCCTGCAACAGGTTACAAAGATGGCTCAAACGATGGCTCACGGTGGCTCATGAAGGCTCACGATGGCTCACGATGGCTCAAAAACAAAAGGTCAAGAAAGGGTTCAAGTACACAAGGCCAAGCAAGATGGGTTTCGCATTCGCAAACGATGTCGCTATTCAGCTTCATCAATTGATTGCACTATCTGATACATTGGGATGCTTTCATATTTGACAGGTATCTTTCTGCTTTTCAAGGCATCAGAGGCCACCCGTGCCATAGTCCCTATCCCGCTTTGTCCTATTCTTGTTCATAAAGTTTCAAACACTCTCGGGGAAAAGCTTGACGGCAATCTGGGGGCTTTTAGACTTTTGAGAATATGCAATTCTGCAAACATGCACACCGGCCTTTGCTTCTCCATCTCAATGAAGCAAGGATGCAGCTGGCAGCACCACTGTCCCAGCAGAGCAATGCACCCACCCTAGCTTCCCCGCCAGAAGATGACCGCTGCACGATTGTTTCTTGCGCGTGACTGAATCTTTGTGGCATATCTGTCACCGAGGGCGTGGTCGAGGGAAAGCGGCTGAAGTAGGGCTTCTTCGACTGGCAGTCGAAGGCAGTTCTAGAGGACACGACGAGGCGTGCATAGGTCGACAAAATTGTTAAACCCACGGTGTTAGCAAAAGGATTTTAATCATTTGCTGGCACGGGTAGAGGGAAATAAAAAGACAGTCAAAAAAAAAGAGATCAGACCCGGCAAAGATCATGCCAGCAGCCGTCGATGTTTTATCATTGCTCCTTAAAAAGAAGCTCGACATATGTCTTTTATCATTTCAATGCAGCGGGCCCAAGAGGAAAAGACAGTATTGGAAGAATTGAAAGAGCATAGTGCAACGAACCTTGAAAAGGTCACATAAATCAGGTTACATCGGTTTGAACCAAGACAACCACGGGGAGAATAGCGCCATGCAAGACGTTAGCATGCTACCAGGTATGAATGGAATGCCACGAGGGGATACATCTTACCTCTTATTTCGTGGATTGTCAGAGAGAGCTTTACAAGCCACGGTATTGAGTCGATCTTTGCCAGATGCCAGGTATTCGAAGTCCTCCTGTGAGGCACTATTCGGTCCTGGCCCACGAAACATACGGGGGTTGTTTGTAGAGAACAGGGGCAGTCAGTATCAAGTCATGCAGCGCTGGTAGCGAGACTAACTGGTGATGCAGAAGGGGAGATCACTTACCGAGGGAAAACGAAACGCCTATGCCTGATGGTTCGCCTCCCAACCGCCCCTGAACCATGGTGTCGATTTTTTTGATGACTTGTAAGTTGCCTGTTGTTTATTTGCTGAGTCGAAAATTTACGGTTCACAACCCAACCACCCCTGAACCTATGTTGACCTCAAGAGCTGTCGAGAAGTCATGATCCCCCAGACCATCCCATCCCCCAGACCATCTATCCCCTAGACCATCTATCCCCCAGACCATCTATCCCCCAGACCATCTATCCCCCAGTTCATCAATTGAAAAGTTGCGGTTCACCACTCATCCACCCCTGAACCTATGTTGACCTCAAGAGCTGTCAAGAAGTCATGGTCCCCCAGACCATCCATCCCCCAGACCATCAGTCCCCCAGTTACCATCCAGATAGATTGAGCCCCCAGACACTAACCAAGTTGATACATCTTTGTTCCGTCAGTTTGGTAACCGTCAGGTATTGCTGCCCCCCAGTCCCGATCATGATGTGCCGCCGTGCCGGCTGAGAAATGAATCTCCAAGAGGAATTGAAATGTGCCGCCACCAAGGGAACCAGAAGAGCTATAGGGGTAGAAGCTAATCTGGAACACCGAAGTGTTGAGCCTGTGGTAGCCAGCTGGAATTTGATATTTGATCTGAGCAGTGTGTTGGATTGTTCATTAACGTGAAAGCCCTGCTGTGCGGCTGGGTAACCTCAAGAGAATCGCTCATTGAAGAGACGATCATGTCGTGCGGCTGGTTTTTTTAAAAGAAAAGAAAAAAGAAGAAAAGAGAAGAGAAAGAAGAGAAAGAAGAGAAAAGAAATCGGCGAGCCGAGATATAAATGGATGGGCTTCCACTTCCCGAACTGGTCAACCCACCATCGTGCCTTCCGCGAAAAGGCAATGTTTGTTTATTTCAGTGGCGTCAGGGGCACTCAGGGGTGACGGTCAAGTGTAGCCTCAAATGGGAAAGAGAGAGATACATATCAGGAAAGAAGGACCGGCCATGAACGGTACGGTGAAGGAAAGACTTGCTTCTACGGCAGGCGCAACCGATCCGGGGGTTGAAAATGGAAAGTGTGACCGGAAAGTGCCTGTAAAAAAGGTAAGTCTCCTTGCGTGACCTATTCTTTTTATGTCCTTAAATATTCACAATCTTAGGCTCTGCTTTCGTTTATTACTATATATATACGGCATGGTTGTTCACTTAAGGTGATCGACCGAAGGGGATCCTGGGCAAGTGATGTGAAAAAGACCCTCCTTCCTCATCTTGAATTCTCGAATTTTCAAAATGCTCCTTCCACAAGCAGGATTATTTTCGGTGCCGAATTTTTATGAGGAAGGAAGGAGTGTCTCTGATGTCCAAAGAGAGACCCACTTCGTTTGAGAGGGAATGGTCAAAAAAGTGCTGGCCCTCCGTGTACGTTGCAAGTTCCTAGTATCGCGAATTCCATTTTAGGAAACTTTGAAAAGCGAGGAAAGAGCGCACTGGTGAGAGGAGGCAGGTGCAAGGGGAAGAGGTTCCATTGGAGGGGCAGATAGGAAATACACGATAAGCGTCTGGTGAGAAATTACATGTTCTGTTCTCTCGATTCTTTCTAAAAATTGGCTATTTGATATGTCGTGGGATATTGTTCCTTTGAAACGCATCGCGGTTCGACATGTTCTGCTCTTCATGGCCAGCGCTCACATCGGTCTGATCATTGTATTTCCCCGCCCGGCCACTCTTTCTCTTAGCACGGTATATGTCCAGAACGGGGAGGAGCAGTACTCGCAAGTCGCTCTTGCTATGTCTGCCTCCAAGGACCTCTGTGCAACATTTTCGGAAGGAGCTTCGTCATGTCGATGGAGATTGGCCCCACTTGCTTGCGCTCTTGCCGTCTGTGACGCAGCTGCCATCAGTCCGTCTACTCAAGAGTGGACTGGTATATGCACATTGCAACTAGAGAAGGTTCTTCAGCCCAGGAAGCAGAAAAAACGCGAACTAGGAGTGAAAGTATCTTCATGGGGAGGCGAGAAAGGAAAATCTGATTTTCTTTCCAGTAAGCTATGCTCGAGGTCAGACGTCTCGAGCGGCTCCACCTTGCCCTCGTAGTTCCTTCCCCAGTCACTCCTTCCCTAGTTACTACTTTCATAGTTGCTCCTTCTCCAGCTGCTTCTTCCCCAGTTGCTCCTTCCTGTTACAATATTTTGCCCGTGCCTGACACTGTCCTAACCTGTCCACACCTCTCCAATGGTCGCTTCCTCTAGAGAGCAGTACCTGCAAAAGGAAAGGGCAGCCCATGTCTATGCGGCAGGAGCGACATGTTCTACATGATTGTTGACGTCACACCCAGAAACGAGCTGTTTTATGAGCAGGTGCGTTTGGTCACCGTTCCTCGTCCTTTCCCTATGTAGATACAGGATTCGACCATACATGGCAAGTGCACTTCCTTTGCATGCTCCTCCTGCCCCCTCTGCCCTCCTTTGCTCTTTCCCGGTTCCATTTTTTGTATCCTCCTTCGAGGTCCACGTGCACTGGTCTACAAGGCTGACGGACTCGCCATTACCTCTGGCGCAGGCGCACGTGCACCGGCATGCCGTCCTTGACGTGTGGCGGGCCGTGCTTGCTGACCTGGTAGAGCCGGTCGCCCCAGACGGTCGCCTTCTTCTTGTGCGTGGCCCCCCGCTTCGCGTCCCACTCCGCCCAGGCCTCCTCGACCTCCAGCGTGCGGACCACGAGCGCCAACACCATGGTCATCTCCGTCATGGCCATGTGCTGGCCGACGCAGTTGCGGGGGCCTTGTTCAAAGGGCCGGTAGGCGTTGCGGCGCGGGTGCAGCGGGTCGTCCTTGTCGGTGGTGAGCCAGCGCTCGGGCACGAACTCCAGCGGGCGCGGCCAGTAGGCTGGGTTGCGGTGGATGGCAAAGTTGGCATCCCAGAGGACGCACATGTCGGTGGGGAAGGCGACGCCGTCGTACCCCGAGCCGGCGGGGCCATAGAGGGCGGCGCCGGGCGGCGCGGCGCGCAGGGTGCCGACGTTGGTGTGGATGCGCATGGACTCTTTGATGACGGCCGTCGTGTACGGCAGCTGGCCGATGAGGTGGGGCGCGTCACGCAGACGGTCGGCCGCGGCGTCCGGGTCCGGGCCCAGGACGGCGTCGTGCTCGGCCATCATGTTGGCGACGATCGTGGGCTCCGTTGCGAGTGTGCGGAAGAGCCAGGCCAAGGTGAAGGCCGTCGTCTCGTGGCCGGCAAACAGCGTGTGCTTGGTTTCGGCCACCACGTAGTCGAGCGTGGCGGTGGTGTTGGCGTCGGCTGGGCTCTCGGCAGCAATCGTTGTGAACAGCGTGTCGACCAGCGTCGTACCGCCTGCCGGGGGCTCGCCGGCCGTCAAGGCTGCACGACGCTCTTCCAGGCGGGGCGCGAGGTACGCATCCATGCAGCGCACGTTGCTCCAGAGCTTGTACGTGACCCACGGGTTGAAGAGGGACCATACATTGCCAATGTGGGTGAAGACGCGCAGTCGGGGCAGCGTGTCGAGCATGGCCGCGGTCATGGGCGTCAGCGGACTCGTCTGCTCGTGCAGGCGGACGTCGAATGTGAAGCGGCCGATAAAGTCGAGCGTCAGCATCGTCGCGAGCTCCTCAAGGGTGAAGACAGTGCCCCAAGCACCATTCTTGCCGGCGCGGCTCACCAAGATATCCCGAAACACCTCGACCTCCTCCATCAGCGCCGGCAGCCGCGCGCGGATGGCCTGGGCACTGAATCCCAGGTTCATGCGGCGGCGCAGCTTCTTCCATGCCGCGCCGTGGCTGGACGCTACGTCGAGGTTGCTCGTGAGGGGCCGCAAGAAGTGGCCCTGGGCCTCGGCCTTTTCCATGTTGACGTCCTGGGTGAACTGGGCGGACATGTCGGGGTGCAAACTGAGCATGAACGGCATGGACGCAGGCCACATATCCAGATAGACAGCGGGCGGGCACGCTGTGTACTTTTCGTCAAACAATGTGCGCCAGTTGTCCTGAATGAGCAGCATAAGGTAGTCGCCATGGACATCGCCCGGCATATCCTTCATGAGCTTGCCAACAACGCCAAGATGGCCCAAAATGGGATGATGCGGGAGCATGGGCTGCCGCGTGGTTAGCCATGTGCGGGAACACGAGGGACAGGATCTCGACGTACAACTCCCTGGCGCTGAAGGCGCTGGAAATGGCTGCGCACGACATAGGCGCGGTAACCAAACCAGAGCACCGTGGCCGCCAGCAGCCAGCCAGCGGCGTTGACGGCATGGCTGATCGAAAGCTCGATTGCCATGGGACACACAATGAGGTGCGACGCGAAACGGTGGAAAGCAGAACTCTTATCGCTAAATTGGCGCGTGGTTGAGAAATATGAAGAAAAGGGAATGACAAAAAAAGGAAGAGAGAAGAAGGAGAGAAACAAGATGGAGAAAACAAGATGGAGAAAACAAGATGGAGAAAGAAATAAGGAATGGGAATAACCCCCAAACAATCGAAGGATCGCCAGCCCAACCTTGTGGATTTGCAAGGCATGTCGTCCAGTCCTCCATACGGAGTACACCGTACGAAGGTAGTTTAAAAGTGTAAGTTACTGCCGCCTTGTGGCGCACAGACCAGCTGTCGCTCCTTTGGCGGGTCTTGGTAATGTCAGCTCATTAGACTGCGATTTTTGACGGTTCTGATTTCAGGGGTTGTAGGACATGCCCAAGAAACGTTTTATGGATCGAGCACAACAGAGGTCGAAACCATATTGTACAGTTCATTCATAATTTTTACACATGTCAGAAAGAATAGTCATTTTCGTGGAGAACGTATCTAGCGCCGAGAAAAAAAGAAACAAGATAACAATAAAACGACAAGAAATAATCGCAAAAGAGAACAAACAAAAACACGTCAAATACAAGACAGGCAATATAGTAAAGCAAGGTTTCAAATCGACACCAGTAGTACTCATGATCTATATTTTTAACTCTCCCATCCGTATCGTCCGTCTACCCTAACCTGCATCACAAATCGTGTTGCTTCGCAGCACAGTGCTCTCAGCCCAGCAGGTCGTCCAGGCCGTTGCCCGTCGGTGCCGGGTTTGTTTTGGCCGAGGAGGATGCCGGCGTGGACGATGACGAGGCCGGCGCGCCCCAGATGGCCGCCTGGCTCTTCTCCTGTGCCAGCTGGCCCATCGAGGGGCCCTTGGCACCGGGGCCCGTCTTCTTGATGCCGGTGCTGGCCGTCGACCACAGCGAGCCAAATGCGTCGCTCCCACCCGACGACGACGCGGCAGCGGGCGCCTTGGCCACCGACGACGCGCTGTTGGCGGTGGACACCACCGGCCGCAGGGCCGCCATGCCGGCCGCCGAGCCGCTGGAGGCGGACTTGTTGAAGGACGACGTGCTGGCGGCGCCAAAGATGGAAGACGTCGTGCCGGCCGTGGACGACTGGAAGACGGGCGAGGTGCCGGTCGGTTGGGCCTGGACGGACTGGTAGTAGTTGGGCTGGGTGGGCTGGTAGCCGCTGACCGGGGCTGCCCGTTGTTGCTGTTGCTGTTGCTGTTGCTGCTGTGGTGCGGCAGGCGGCGCGTGGAAGGCGGCGTAGTTGGCGCCACCGTTGCCCGTCGCAGGCGGCGGCGAGATGGACGATATGCCGACCATGCCGGCCAGGTTGACCTGCTGGGGCGCCGAGACGGGCTGCGGTGCAGCGAACTGGGCGCCGGCGGCGCTGGATGTGGTGAGAGGCGGGCTCGAGAGCGCGGCGAGGCCGGCCAGGGGATCGCTGGAGGCGGCAGAGGGGGCGGCAGCCGTTGGTGCCGATTGGAAATCGTCAAAGTCGTCGTCGTCGTTGCCGGCAGCCGCCGCAGCCGACAGCGGGGCAGAGGACGTGCTGGGCACAGGATCGTCAAACGAGAAGAGGTCGACCTCGGGCGCCTTGGCCTTGGGCGGCGCCGCCGGTTCGGCCGCCGCGGCCGCCGATGCCGTCCGCCGCGACGACGACGTCGTTGCGCTGCTGCTGCCGCCCGTCGTGCGCTTCACACCGGCGCGCGCCGCCGACGACGTGCGCGCCCGCGTCTCGCCCTCGTCGAACTCGTCGTACTCCTCGAACCGCTCGGACCGCGAGCCGCCCATGGCCGTGCTGCCGCCCGACTCGTTGTAGTCGCCCTGGCCACCGAATCCGCCGCCGTCCCCGTACACACCGCCCGAGTAGCCGCCATAGCCGCCGCTGCCGCCGCCGCCACTCGAACTGCTGCCAAAGCCGCCCGAGTCCGAGCCAAAGCCGCCAAAGCGGCCGTTGCCCATGCTGCTGCCGACGCCTGTGTACTTGCCCTTGTTGGCGCGGGCTTTTTTCCGCTCGGCGCGGATGCGGTCGACGTCGCCCAGCAGCTCGGCCAGCTCTTTGGCGCGGTTGCGGACGTTGATGCCCTGGTCCTTGCCGTTGGCATCGATAAAGTGGAACTGACGCAGCATCTTGAGGAGGGTGAGGTGCGAGCGGGCGTCGTCAATGACACGCTCGGAGCCGTGCTTGACGAGGAACTCGAGCAGCTGCAGGGCCTTGTAGATCTGGCGCCACTCCTCGGCGGCCTTTTCGGTGAAGCGGCGGTAGATCATGGGCATGATCTCGTTGAGGGTCTGGTAGTTGAAGGTGCCGTTGGCAATTTCCTGCATGAGCGTCGACGAGGCCCCCCAGGGCTCGTTGTTGGTGGCCTCGCGGACCTTGGACTCCATTTCTGTGTAGTTCATGACGGCTGTACAGACACGAGAAGAAAGAAGAAAGAAGAAAGAAGAAAGGGGTCAGCAAAGCCAAAACGGGCCGCCAAAAATAAGGTTCTCGGGCTGTCTCACCATTTTGCACTTTCCGCACGCCGGCCTTGAGGTCGTACAACGTCAAGTTGGCGACGGACTCCTTCAGGTTGCTGAAATCCATTGTCTCGATGTCGGAGGGGGGCTGTGGAGGGAGACGGAAGGTGGTGAGGCACAAGTGAGACTCAGGGTCCAATTCGGAAAAAAGGCCAGCCGTCGAGGCTGTCGTAAACCTCGAACCGATGAGGGCTTGCAGCGGCGACGAAACTGGGAAAAGGTCGTAACGGGGGAAGGTTCGGGGATGTCCGATCGGGAGATACGTGGACGGAAGCGGAAACGGGTGCGTCGCGAAAGGGGTGGTTTGCAGATGGCGATGGTTGGAGGGAGATGCCAGATGGGCCGCGATGGTCAAGGCGCTATGCCCGGTACGGACGGGCGTCCCTGATTGGTGCAGGCCGCTGTGGGCAGCAGTGGGATTTCGAGGAAGGAGCAGGGCTGGTGACGACCTGAAGATAATCACGTGATATATCTAAAGTAAGTGCTGCTCCATTTCATTTACTTATGTCACATGTTTGCATCTGACTTTTTGACAACCGAATTCGTTCACGAAGGGAAACTTAGTCAAGTCCCAGTACCTACAATAGGACATTCTCATCTGAACGATCGACTGCAGCATAGCAATATTGGCGTGGGCAGGAAATCGTCTTTGTCCTCCGCTTCCATCACAGCTGGGCGGGAGAACAGCGTAGCTTCGACACTTTATCCACTATTTAGTACCTTTAGTGCCTGAGGCAGGTAGGTACAGCGGGCTGGAACGCCTGGAAGTGACCCACGAGCGGCAGCTGGCGGTTGTCCAGGCCGTGGCAGGCCCGGCAAAGGTGAGCGGTGAAAAAGCTTTGCGTGCCATTTTGGACGAGCTCTTGAAAAGCCGCTTTTGAAGCTTTTGGAGCTCTTGCGCATTCTCGTCTGTGAAATCACCAGCTCTCGTCGCCAATTTTGCCATCTGATCACTTTCTGATATCTGTAAGGTGCGTACTGCTCTTCCTTATGTCTTGCGGTCCTTTCCGGGTCTCCCCAGTGTCTGGCCAGCCGACCGAAGACGTCACCGCTTCAGAGCTCTCTCCAAAGGCCAAAAAGTCAACAGTCATATCGTCTGTGAGTAGCCCAGAGCTCTCCTCGAAGTCAATGCCGACCTGCAGCGCTCATTCCAGCTCGTCACTGTCCTCAACCGACCATGCAAGCTTGGATAACTGGCATTGACTGTGTGCTGAGTGTCTCGGATGCCGTGATGTCGAGTCGAGTTGGGTGTTCACTGCCCCGTCCTGGTGCTTTGTCGTTTTTGTTTCTTTGTTTCTGGCTGCCCACCTTTTCTGCTTGTCCTCCCAGTTCTGCCAACCTTCTTCCCGTCTCGTCTTGCGTCCTGCATGGTCAATTGCGTGTCCCGAGCGGCATGTTGCACGTGTGTCTGATGCCGTTGGCAGGCGAGCCAGGCTCTGCGGAGTACAGACACACCGGTTCTCGTTTCCATGACGCCTGCTTCATGCCGTTGCTCTGCATCCTTTCTTGGTTCGCCTGCTCTTGCCTGTCTTCGTCCTTGGACCGTCATTCCCTGCTTTCCCCTGGAACGTGCATGCTCCTTGCCCCGTCCTCCATCCCCGTGAGCTTCCATGCCCGCGTGGTAACCATCGATCCCGTCGAGCCACTGCCACCAAGCCGCTGAGCCACGCCCATGCGCCCTGTCAGCACGTTCTGACCAAACAAGGCAGCGCCAAGCTTCGGGAACGACACAAGAATCGTGCCCTCCTTCTTGTGTTTCGTGTTGCCCTGAGTGAGGCCTTGCTAGGGCGTCGACGGTCTGAGCGGGGCACTTTTGCGGGACAAATGGGATGGGGCGAGGGGCATCTAGCTCTGTTCATGCAGCCAGTAGCTGAGCAAGGTGCGAGGTCAGTCAAATCACTCATTGGAATCCCCAAATGCACAATGGCATCAATGGGCTGAACGGAGAGGCAGAGAAGCAGGTCATCCTTACCAGGGATATTGTGCGTTCTCTTTACTGCTTGTGCAGAGGGGCAAGAGCAAGGCAAGCTCACGGCAATGAGAAAGAACGACCATGGAAGGAGCCAGGAGAGGGGGCGAGAGGGGAATGGGCGCCAGGCCGGACGCGGTTGGTGGGGAGATCGCTGAGGTGCGGTGCAGAGTGCAGGAGGCAGGAAGCTGCAGTGGCGCAACGGGACGCTAACGTTTTGGTGGGGTAGCAAAGGAAAAGAATCGAACGAAACGGAAAGAACGACTGGTCTTGAACACACACAATAAGCAAAACACGCTGACAAGCAAAGCACAAAGCACCAAAAAGCTCAGCTCCCCCTCCTTCCTTCCGTCACGCCGCGCTCTGCATTCTACAAAGCAGCCATGAAGGGCCCACTGGCAGCCAGCATTGTCCGACCCCTCCTGCCCCGCCAGGGGACTATTTGTTTGGGTGCTGCCCCTCGGTCGAGCTTTTCCATTTCTTCTTCTCCTCTTTTCTCCCGCACTCTCTCTCCCTTCATCACCAACTCTCCTCTGACCAGCAACACCAACACCACGTCCCGCACATTCTCATCCTCCCCCGCAAACAACATGGCCGGCGACCCGAGCAACAGCAAGGTGTACTTTGACGTCGAGTGGGAGGGCCCGGTGCTCAACGACAACTTCGACCCCGTCGGCAAGCCGCAGAAGCAGCAGGGCCGCATCACGTTTGAGCTGTTCGACAAGGTCGTCCCCAAGACGGCGCAGAACTTCCGCGAGCTGTGCACGCGCCCCAAGGGCCAGGGCTACGTCGGCTCGCCCTTCCACCGCATCATCCCCAACTTCATGATCCAGGGCGGCGACTTCACCCGGCAAAACGGCACGGGCGGCCGCTCCATCTACGGCGAGAAGTTCCCTGATGAGAACTTTAAGCTGAAGCACGACCGCGAGGGTCTGCTGTCCATGGCCAATGCCGGCCCGAACACGTACGTGTTACCCCTGTGCTGTGGCTGCCAATGCTTGCAATGCACTCAATGCTCAATGCCCTGTTCCATCGCTAACAATGTAACAGCAACGGCTCGCAGTTCTTCATCACCACCGTCGTCACGAACTGGCTCGACAACCGTCACGTCGTCTTTGGCCAGATCAACAAGGAAGACGGCTCGTGGAAGGTCGTCAAGTCCCTCGAGGCGTGTGGTGACGAGCGCGGCAACGTCAAGTCGCCCAAGCCCACCATTACCGGTGCGGGTGTCCTGTAAAGCAGAAGCGGCCAACATTTTGCTTCGCTTGCACACGTGTGAGACGGTCGATTGCACCGTCTGTCTGCATAAAATAACGGAGGACAAAAACGGGGTCTGTATCCATTACGTTTTCGTGACAGACGCCAGCATAGGGCACATCTCTGCATGAACTTCAATTGACAAAGGCTTCGAGCATTTCTGCACGTACAATCTGCGCGTAACCGTGTCCAGGAATCATGTGTAGTCTGTAATTGTAAGCTATGCTCAGAATACGCTCCTCGTCTCGTCGGTGAAACTGGGCTAGAGCGTAGACAATGCCAATACAATGCTAATACACGTAGTTTGGTACTCATAAAATACAGATGCAGACCCAAGATTGATGCTCCGAAACGCCCGTGCCAAAAATAGAGTGCCCCGTTATGCAAGTAGCCGTGTTCCAAACGTATCATTTTCTTTTGTAGAGACCCCCATCTCAGTCCTCATCAAAGTCGTCTTCCGCCAAGACGGTCACAGCGGCCGGCTCGAGCGCCTCTTCGAGGCCCAGCCACCGGTTAAAGTACACGCAGTTGGCCGGGCTGACGGGCCCGCCGTCCTCGCACAGATCGAACACGGGGCACAGCCCGCACGGCGACTCGGTCAGCCCGTTGTTGAGCGGCGGCGGGGCGCCCTTGGGCGTGGTGCGCGGCTCGCCGGGCGTGTCGGGGGCGTGGTTTGAGCTGGACGCCTCGTCCAGCCGCGCGGCGTTGAGGGCGCGGTAGCCCGTGTCGTGCGAGCCCGGCAGGCGGACGGGCTCTAAAAGACCGTCGTACACCAGCAGGTCCACCAGCTGCTGGATGTCGGCCTCGCCGAGCGTCGTGTTCATCGCCACGCCAGACTGCTCGATGAGCTCGGCGATGCGCCGCACGGTCGGGTACTCGGTGTAGCCGGCGGGCATGGGCAGCAGGATCTGGCGGCGGGCGGTGTGGTGGGCGTGGGAGCGGTGTTTGCTGGCGTGGCCGTTGGTCTCTTTTTTGTTGTTGTTGTTGTTGTGGTCGCTGCCGGTCGACAACGCATCGGCTGTCCGTTTCCGTCCCCGCGTGACCCCTACGGCTGCTGTTGTTGACCCAGGAGAAGCGTCACTGGTCCCGCCACGGACCACCCCTTTTTTCGGCTGTTTTGTCGGTGCTGCTGGTGCTGCTGGCGCCGCCGTCCGCACGCGGCTCAGGTACGTGCTGCGGTTGCGGATGGCGTCAAAGACCAGCTCCTGCAGCGACTCGATAAAGTCGCCGTCCAGCACGCCGTCCGAGTACCACGGCCCGCCCGTCGCCCGGTCCGACGGACGCAGCGTCGCCTTGATGTACATCTTCTTGCCAATGTTCTCGACGGACTTCATGTCGCGAATGTAGCCGCGCGTCTCCAGGTGCTTGATGCACTGCTTGAGGACGGACTCGTGCATGTTGAGGCGGTGCTTGAGGCTGCGGGCCCAGATGCCGTCGGCGCCCGCGTCGTCAATCAGCTCGTACACCATGATCTGGTCCTGGTTGAGGGTGCGGTACTTGGCGGCGTCCTCGACCGGGCGGTAGCGCCAGCAGAGCCCGATGCGGCCGTCGTTCATGGTCTTGAACAGGAAATCGCTGCAGAGGCCCTGGACGGCCTTCATGAGCAGGTCCAGGTTGCCCTCGGGGATGATGTCAAAGTCAATGAGGTCCTGCTGGGTCCAGAGGCGGCCCTCGCCGCCGTTGTCAACGGCCGCCTGGTAGAGGGCATCTTTGAGCAGCTCGATTTTCGAGGGGTCTTCGCTGGGGGAGCGGGACGACATTGTGTCGGTGGGAGGAGAGGAGGTCGGGACAAGAGTCGTCGAGAGACGTTCAGTTCGAGGTCGAAGCGAGACTGTCGCGAGAGTCAGGTTGAGATCGAGAATCGAGAACTGAGAATCGAGAATCGAGAGATGGCCTCAGTCGACCAGAAAGGCTTTGGCTCGAGTAAGATCCCAGGCTATAAATTCATATCGCTCCGCTGGACAACGTAAGGGTCGTCTCGTAGCAAGTAACTCGTTATTCACCGTCTGTCGTCAATGCTGCGGGCTACAATCGTCAGGGAAGAAGACCAAGAAGATCAAGAAGACGATTTCGCTTGGGTTGGCCACGACTTTTTTTGCGCTGCACCACTCGAACTTATTTTCTGCCGCTTCCGTTTCTGCCACAGGCACCTCCCCGCAATGACTCGACGGCGCGCTGGTAGGCGCGGGCGCTGTAATTGGGGCACTTACCGCCTTCCGGGTTTGGCCTGCTTTGACCTGTTTTGGCCAATAGAGGGCGGCGTTACCGACTTAGAGCCTTAGTCCAGGCAAGTTGAGGCAAGTGCGCCGGGAAGGCTGCAGGTGGGAGAAAAAAAGTTGTGACGGCGCAGCAAGAGAGACCGACGACATTCTTCAGTTGCACCTGCCCAAGACAGACATGCTAAGGGCTGCCTGACTGCATTCGGCAATTCCACTTCCACGATACCTTTCTGCCTCGCCTTTACGCATATTTTCTCCTCTTCGCTCCATCCTCCCTCTCCACCACATCCCCGCCCGCAACATGCATCTCCGGACGGTGGACCGCATTGAGCTGCCGCCCGCGGCGGACATGCATGTCCACATGCGCCACGGCGACCTGATGAAGCTGGTGGCGCCGACCGTCCGCCAGGGTGGCGTTGACACGGCTTTTGTGTGAGTTGCTTTTTAAGGGCCCAATCGACGTTGTCCGGTGTCATCAACTAACAGCGTAGGATGCCGAATCTGGTGTGTCCCGATGGCGCGGTACCCAGGTGGACTTGTGTGCCGGATCGAGCACGGCGCGGTCAGCGACAGCATGCTAACAGCACAGGTGCCGCCATTGACGACAGTTGAGCGGGTAAGTGGCCCTTTTGTCACTCCATTACGCCATGCGGCACTGCACAGACGACTAACAGCGCCAGGTGCTTGAGTACAAGTCCGAGCTCGAGGCGGCGGCCCCCGGCGTCAACTTTCTGATGTCTCTTTTCGTAAGCCAGCCTACACCCGGCCAAACCTAGAGCTCTCACACAGCACTCGCCGCATCTTGCCGTCATGTATCTGTTGCTGACCATCAGCTCCACCCGACCATCACGCCCGAGGTCATTGCCCAGGCCTCTGCGGCGGGCATCACGGGTGTCAAGCTGTACCCGCAGGGCGTGACCACCAACTCGGATGCCGGCGTGGCCGATATGAAGGCTTTCTACGACACGTTTGCGGCCATGGAGAAGCACGACATGGTCCTCAACATCCACGGCGAGGTGCTCGAGTCGCTCGCACCTCCTGGCACCACGCTCGAGGAGGCGTTCCTGCCCACCCTCAAGTCCCTGCACGAGCGCTTCCCCAAGCTGCGCATTATCGTCAGTCCTTGTATCCGGTGGTCTTTCTTTTGTTTTATTTTTGTTTTTATTTTTGTTTTTGTTTTTGTTTTTGTTCCTAACTCCCTCCAGCTCGAGCACTGTTCCACGGCCGCGGCGGTCGAGGCCGTCAAGGCCTGCGGCCCGACGGTGGCGGCCACCATCACCGCCCACCACCTGTACCTCACCGAGACGGACGCCTGCTGCGACCCGTTTGCGTTCTGCAAGCCCATCCCCAAGAAGCCCACCGACCGCGACGTTCTCGTGCGCACCGTCGCCGCGGGCGACCCCAAGTTCTTCTTTGGCAGCGACTCCGCGCCGCACCTGCGGCAGACAAAGACGGACGCCGCGCCCGGCAAAGCCCCGGCCGGCGTCTTTACGCAGCCGTTTGCCACGCAGCTGGTCGTGCGGGGCCTGCAGGACGGCATCGCGCGCGGCGTGCTTGCCGAGGACGCCATCTCCGAGGCGACGCTGGCCAACTTCTTGAGCCACCATGGCCGGGCGTTTTACAAGCTCCCTGCCGTGGCGGAGACGTCGACCCAGAAGATTGTGCTGGTGCGCGAAGGCGCCACGATCCCGCCGAGCGTGCGCAGCGCCGACGGCCGCGTGGAGGTGGGCAACTCGCGCGCGGGCGACGAGGTGTTTACGCTCAAGTGGGAGGAGAGGTAGATTTGAGGGGGAGGGGGGGGGGGGGTGGCTCAGAGAGGCCAAACCGATAGGATAGACAGGCGTTGTGTTGTGGGACAAGCATTGCATGGGATGTTGGGAGCATTTAGGGTGCGAGAAATGAAATCACGAGCAAAATAAACTGGATTGAATCACTGTGCCATGTGGTGCCAATTGTCAGGTTCGCATTATTGCATGTATTTTTCCTATGAAAGCTGATACGTGATGGTAAAAATTGAATTTCTGGAAATTTTAATTTCTTTCAATAATTACTTGAAAAAAATCACACATTTCATCTTTGTCAATGTCATTCAACGGTAATGAAATTGGATGTACTTTTATCTACGTTTATGATGCCACGCTGACCCATGATGAATGGAAAAGAAACAATAAAAAAGCAAAAGAATGCCCCGTCCTCCCCGCTTATGCCTCCATCTTTACACCCGTCGCGCCGTCGCTGTGGGTCTGCTGCGCCTTTTTGGTCTTCTTGGTCTTCGTGTCGTCGTCGTCGTCGTCGTCGCGGCCGCGCATGCCGTCGAGGCCCGTCTTGTGGGCGACGTGCTCGTTGCTCAGGGTCGTCTGGGTGATGAACAGGGAGCCCAGGAGCCCGGCGCCGGCCAGCGCGGCGTAGAGGGCGAACATGGTGCGGAGGGCGACCCAGTAGGCGGTGCGGGCGGTCTGGCGGGCGGCGGGGTCGGTGAGGAGGGTGGCGACGGCGTCGACGCTGGCGGCGGCGTTGCGGCCGGACAGGAGGGCGGCGGCGTCCGGGCCGAGGACGGCGACGAGGGCGTCGTGCTGCTGCTGCATGCGGTTCTGGAAGACGACGCCGCCGAGGACGATGGAGACGGTGGTGGCCATCTGGCGGACGAAGCCAAAGGTGGCGGTGGCGGAGGCGATGTCGCGGCGGTCGACGGTGGTGTGCAGCGACAGCAGGGGCGCCTGGAAGTTGGGGCCGACGCCGAGGGCGGCGACGAGCTGGTACAGGACGATCTTGGCCCAGTGGGCGCGGTCGCCGAGGTCGGCCAAGAGGCCGAAGCCGAGCGCCAGCAGCACGAAGCCGCCAATGATAAAGGGCCGGTAGACGCCCGTCTTCTTGATGGCGACGCCGGTGGCGGCGCTCGCGACGGAGAGGCTGACGGAGTAGGGCAGGACGTAGACGCCGGACAGCAGCGGCGGGGCGCCGAGGACGGCCTGGAAGTAGAGCGGGAGGTAGTAGCTGCCGGCGACGAAGACGACGCCGTGGAAGAAGCAGCAGACAAAGGAGGCGACGGCGACGCGCGCGCGGAAGAGGCGCAGCGGGATGATGGGGTAGCGGGCGACGCGGGCCTCGACGGCGGCAAAGGCGACGAGGACGAGGGCGCCGACGACGATCAGGGCCACGACGGCGGGCGACGCCCAGGGGTACAGGACGCCGCCAAAGGTCAGGCCGAGCAGCACCAGCAGGGTGCCGGCGCACACGGCGGCGCTGCCGAGCCAGTCGACGGCGGCGAGGCCGGCGCGCATGGGGGTCTTGGGGTTGTGCAGGCGCAGGACCAGGACCAACAAGACGAAGCCGGCGCCGGAGATGGGCAGGTTGAGGTAGAAGCACCAGCGCCAGGTGGCGTGCTGGGTCAGGGCGCCGCCGACGACGGGGCCGATGCCGCCGGCGACGGCCCAGACGAGCCCCGTGAAGCCGTAGTACTGGCCGCGGCGGCGCATGGAGAAGAGGTCGCCGATGCACACGTTGACGAGGATGATGATGCCGCCGCTGCCGATGCCCTGGACGGCGCGGGCGACGATGAGCATGGTCATGTTGCGGCTGACGGCGCAGAGCAGCGAGCCGACCCAGAAGATGGCGACGGCGCCGAGCAGCACCGGCTTGCGGCCCCAGATGTCCGAGATCTTGCCCCAGGAGGGCGCGGTGGCGGCGTTGGCCAGCAGGTAGGAGGAGCCGATCCAGGTGTAGCCAATGGTGCTGTGGAACTCGGCCGAGATGGTGGGGATGGCGACGGTGACGATGGTGACGTCGAGGGCGCCGAGGAAGAGCGCGGAGCAGAGCGACACCATGATGAGGACGGTCTGCAGCGTCGAGCGGCCGTCTTCGTAGAGTGGTTCGGCGGCCGAGGGCGCTGGGGCGGCAGCTGCGTTTGCATCCGTCCCGGTCTCGACAACGTCCTTTTCGTCCTTTACGTCCTTTTCGTCGGGTGGTGCAGACGGCTGGCCCTCGGCAGGTCCGTCGGAGAGGCTGCCATTGAGGCTGCCGTTATGGAGGGTGGACTGTTCTAGTTCCTTGTCACCCAGTCGGGGCTCGTCGTCTGAGACGGCCATGGTGTGAGTTGTGTGCGTTTTGTTTTGTAGATGTGAAGTGTAGATGTGAAGTGTAGATGTGGTGATGCTGATAAAGGATGGACGTCACGATATATAAATCAAAGGAATGACATGATACTTGACGGACAAACCTGAACCGAAACCAACGTCCGGTGCCGGCGTTGTTTAACAAAGTTGTGCCTAGGGTGTGAGATTGTGTCTACGGCCAGTGGATGCAGAGGCTAGTGTTCCGTATCATAATATGAACTGTCGTTTGTAGTCCGCTTCTGACGACTACTAATTTCAAAGCCACCACTCGGCTCTGCTTCCTTGTCCCCTGCCCACTTCGTCTCCTCACATTAACGTTTACGGCGTCGGCAAGGAGGCTACCCTCTTGATGTTGGTTCGGGGTTGTAACGTAAAAAGAAACGGACTGACCTTTTTTTTAAAAAAATAATAGAGAAAAGAAAATAAATAATAACAGAAAAAAAGAAAAAAATGTGAACGAGAAGTGCCGTCCGACCCGACGCCAGCCATCCTCCACGTCGCCCACCCACACCGCCTGGGCGAGTCCGTCTCCGCATCAACACTGGCCAAGTAGATGTGCGAAAGCTGAAAACTGAAAAGCGGCCGATACGACGCCCGTCCGAAGCTGCAACGTGCGCCTGGCCGCGTTGACTCACTGGGAAACGGTGCAGCAATGTCGCCATTTCAGCCAAGCAATTGCCATTGAGGTCGGAACGTTATGCGGAAAATAACGTGAGAACACGGTACACCGCAAACGGCAGTAATTGCTTACTACGCCGTATGCTGTCCCCTTGCGTCCTATTGTATCAGAATGTTATGTCGCCTTTTCTCCTTCACTGCTATTGAAGACGGTTTACGTTTTCTCTATTTGAAGAACCCTCTCGCCTACATGAGCCCAAGGCCATTTCCCTTTTTCCTCTTTGCCTCGTCCGTCGTGCCACCTGCGCACCGGCACCCCACAGACAGAAAGCCCTTTCTCCAGTCTTAGCTCAAGTCTGGGCACCGGGCGCCCCCCCCTCCTGGCCCATCCTGATCCTTTGCCAATGGAAATCTCTTGGACCTTGGGCGATAGGAGCCAGCCGCACCGGTTCCTTTTTTCCAACGATCCACGGGGCCTTTCGGATTTTTGCCTGATGGGGGCATCGTGTCCGGAGGGTGTTAAAAATACGGAGATACAGCACGCGCGTCCATCTCGGCCGGCGGCCCAAAAAGGAAAAAAAGGACCAGATTCAAACAAGGGGGGTCTCCGTGCATCGTCGCAGCCAACCATCTCGATGGCTGCCGCCGCGATCCTGTGTGGCGCCAGACCGATGCGTAGCTGCTTGGCTGCTCTTGTCATAACCTGCGTACGATGTAGTTTCAAGCCAACCCCCGGTCCTCGTCACCCCAGCTGGGCCACGGCGGGGCTGTCCATGTGCACAATCTGCACGCCGGCCGCCGCCAGCGCCGCGCGCTCGGCCGGCCACGCGTCCGGGTCCACGGCGCGCGTGCCCTCCTCGACAATGTACGTCACAAACCCTTCGTGCAGCGCATCCAGCGCCGTGCTGCGCACGCAGTAGTCGGCGGCCAGGCCGACGACGTAGACGTGCGTCACGCGGTGCGCGCGGAGGCGCGCGACGAGGCCGCTGTCGCTGACGCGCGGGTTCGTAAACGGGTCGTAGATGGCGCTGTACATCTCGACGTCCTTGTGGGTGCCCTTTTCGACGACCACGTCGACGCGCCGCATGTCCAGGTCGGGCAGCAGCTGCGCGCCCGGCGAGTTTTGCACGCAGTGGACCGGCCACAGGCGCGTCTGGTACGACGGCTCGCGCGGGTTCAGCGGGTTGGTGACGGTCGCAAAGTCGACAAACGGCCGCTTGCCCGGGTGGTTGCTCGCAAACGAGATGTGGTCGGGCGGGTGCCAGTCTTTGGTGGCGACGCGCAGCACAAAGCGCGGGCGGGCCAGCAGCTCGTTGACGACGGCGACGATGGCGCGGCCCTCGGCAACGGCCAGGGTGCCGTTCTGTTCACGTCAGGACTGTCTATCGTCACCGATGGGGGGGCGATGTGTCGGACGTTTAAAAACGTAAAAAAAAAAAGTAAAAATAAAAAACTCACAGGTGGACAAAAGTCTTCTTGCAAATCAACGACGATCAACGCCGGGTTGAATGTGTCGTCGACCATGGCACGACGACGAGCAATTGCATGCGACGCAGTTGCTAGCAGTGACTACGAAGAAGAGCAGGTCGTAGTGCTTGCGGAAAATGGGAGAACATGGCCGGTCTCTGTCGTCGTGCGTCGATGTCGTCAGCGCTGATAAGAAGGGGGGGGGAGGGGGGGAGCGGTGGAGCTGTGCTGCCGTGTGACAAAAGCTGTCTTACTAGAGCTTTGCATGTCAAGTGTTATGCATAGTACGGAGCACTACGGCGAGCTGTCAGACCGCTAAGAGCTAGGATGTCAACGGCGCGATAGCAAGTCCGAAGGCCCGTCACGTGCCACGGCACAACAGGCGCAGCTCTACACAATGCTCTCGTTTTGTAAATTGCAGAGCTTCTTTGCTCAATGTCATCACATTAACGTTGTATAAGAAGGATACTGAACGTCGGCAGGGCGGCATATGTCACGAATTCAGAGGGACACCGGCCGTTGGGCCATGCTAATGAGCACATCCCTTGTAACACGCGCGGAAATTGTCCGAATAATGTGTTGACGTAATTCAAAAAGAAGAGAAAAGCGAGGCAAGAGAAAAGCCGGAAAAGAGACACACAAAAGCCAGGAAAGAGAAAATCTAGTGAAAGAAGAAAGCCGAAGAAACGGTCACATGGTTCACCCACACTTTCCCAGACGCGGCGGAACGGCAGTCCGTGTTGGTGTGAAGCTTTATGTCTGTCTGTTTTCTTTCTTTTTTCTTTTTTTTTTTCCTTGCGTCGCCGCCTTCGGAAGATGACGATTCCGGGAGAGAGACAGCCGGCGGGCAGCAGTGTGGGACGAGCAATGCTAAGCCAAGTTGACGACGCGTCGGGCGTACAATCGCAAGGCCAATGAGCCAATGAGCCAATGAGCCAAACGAGCCAAAACGAGCCAAATGATGGCCGAATAAGACGGTTGGCCCGATTGATTAACCCGATCGATTAACCCGATTGATTAGCCCGGCCGCATTCTCTTTGTCAGATGCGAGCGGGAGCAGCCTGTTCAGGGCTCTCAGGGCGTAACACGTTGCCGTCAGGGCGCTTCTTTGTTGCCTGCAAGGGAGACAAACGTAAAGCATGCAAATGTAAGACGCATAGGGCGGACACAGTCGAGAAAAACAGGACCGGGAAAAGGGAAGGAAGAAGAAACAAACACAGCAGACAGTCGTTGCAACTGTCCAAAAGGGGTGGAGTTGTATATGTGTAGGGAGCAGCGTGTACGGCGTGCATGAATGAAGTCTTCACAAGTGAGACTCATAATCCTGGATACTGCGCATTCGAATATAACAGCAACAAGCCCAAGCGTCGGTGGTTTAGTGGTAAAATCTGTCGTTGCCAAGTCAGATCACATGATCTGTCGCAACTTCGACAGGCCCCGGGTTCGATTCCCGGCCGACGCAAGTTGGATTTCCTTTTTATTTTTTTTAAACTAGTTTCGAGAGTTATACACTACAAGGTAGTATCCGTTCTACATTTTAAAGGATTTACTTAGTTTAATAAATATTTTTACTAATTGTCATGAACCGTAGGCCACGAATCATGTGACTAGGCTTACATAATAAGGCGCGGGGTGGCTGGTCCCCAGCCTCACGCTAACGCCACGCTAACGAAAAGCTTTCTCCTTAAATAAGAGGACTCCTTTCTTCCCACTGGGAAGGGGTAAGAATTAGTCTCTGTTACAATACACACCTACCTTCGCCCTCGAAACCAGTGCTTTTCATCAACAATCTATCGTGAAGACCTATCCCACAACCACTCATAACAATAGTTTACTTGTTTAGACGTTATTTATATCCGTTGTATTATATAATACAATTCCCATCGATCGAGCCCCGAATCCAACCGCTAGAATACATAGCCCGTCATCTGTCTAGTCGCATTATTATCCGTCACCTTTCGGTAAAACGTAGTTAAAATACATTCTCGTCCAATAATTCATCTCACTTCATCCTCGTGAAAACCATCCCTTCGAAAAAGTACAATCTGTAGTCCTCTGCCCCACTATGCGTATTGAGTAAAAATCCTAAAAATATGAAATGCAAATGAAGAAACATCAACAATACAAATAACGCGCTGTCCTCCCTTTACTCCTTTACAACTTATACTGGTCTGGCTCCCGTAACATAGCAACCACGTCCTCGTGGCCGGCCTTTTCGGCCCATGCCAGCGCCGTTGTCTTGCTCCTGGTGCTTACAATACTCGTGTCAGCACCCTGCGCCAGTAGGTACTGAACGGCCTCGACGTGGCCCATATATGCCGCCTCGTGTAAGGGGGTGCCATGGTCAGAGTTGCGATATTTTTGGGATGATGCTTCGTCGTCGGCGTAGAAGGTCAGGTTCAGTGGCGCGCCACGTTCTAGTAATAAGCCAAGCATTTCCACAATGTCGCTGGCGGCCGCGGGCTTAGATACCGGTGTCCCGGACTGCGTCCGCGACTGTCGCTTAAGGGCATGGTGTAATAGCTGTCCCCGGTGGACGTCTCCCCCCCATTCGTCCACCAGCTCCCGCACTAATTCGAGCGAGGTGTGCTCCACGGCCTGGGACATACCCGTCATGTCTTTATGCTCCGGCCGTACGTTAAGGCTTGCGCCGTGGGCGACCAACCATATAACCATGTCCCGGTCTTGAGCGCCGAGGTGTAGGAGCGATTCCAACACGTTAGGGCCGGGGTGGATTCGTTGATTAATGTCCCACCCGTGCTCGAGAAGAAGGAGGAGTGTATGTTTAGAACCGGCATCAATGGCCTCCCGCGCTACAAAGTCCGTTGACTGGTAAGGGAACGGGTACGGCACAAAGAGTTCTTTCAGGACGTCGGCTTGGTCGTTTCGGGCCGCCTGGCTGATGACTGGGAACAGCTCGTGGATATTGTACTGGCCCGGAATTAGCTGGGTCCGATCCGGAAAGTATGTATCGAGGAGCGCCCGGACGGCATCGCGGTCGTCGGCGGTGACGGCTGCCGTAAACTGGTCGAGGATTTCATCTGGTAGTATAGGCCCTAACCTCTTTGCCCCGCAGGCTTGGAACTGCCTTCGGATTCGCATATGCTCTTCTAGTCGCGCTGACATGATGTAGTTTCGTTGATGAACAATTAGAGGAATACCCTTTGTCAGGAAAGGGGCGGCTTATCTAATCGCGTGCTTACATAATCATGGGCATCCCGCCCCGACTCAATACCCTCTTTCTTGTTCCTGGCATCACGAAGCCAGTGTGCGTAACAACAGTATAAAAACGAGCGAACCAAGAAGTAGCCCTTACGACAGGCGTCGGTGGTTTAGTGGTAAAATCTGTCGTTGCCAGGCCGGATTACATGATCCGATGCAAGCTCGACAGGCCCCGGGTTCGATTCCCGGCCGACGCAGAGTTCGATTTTCTTTTCGCCTTTCGGGGCGTCTTTTTTTTGCGTTTTTTAAATCTTTTCGATTTTGAGTCAGTCCACATTAAGTACTTTAAGTGCCATTCTCCTCTCTGAGGTACCGAGCACTTCAATGGTGGAAGTTGGAGAAGATGTTCATCAACAGTAATGTGGCTACGGATCCTTACGCGAACATTGGCTTTTGGGAATCTGGTTTGACCTGGGTAATCTTTTTATTTATTGTCAGAGGAGTCATCTCACATGTTTTGTCTTCCTTTTTCTTCTCTTTTTTCTGACAAATGAATACACAGAACCTCAAACAGTATTATGCTTCAGTGCCCACTGGATATCTCTGGCCATACAATCCGATTTTCGTCATCCTTGCTCCAGTATCCTTGGCCGCCCTTCTGGTAGATCTCGGACCGGGCATCAAATGACGCTTCCATAACATCATGCTCCTCTATCGTATCCTCCAGCTCCAGCTCCGACTCGGGTGCATTTCCAGTGAACAGCCCGAGTAAGCTGTATCGCTTCAGACGATCCTCGTCCCAGAGAACATATGCCCGTTCGCGGAATCCCGCATTGTGGTACATCATGAGCGAGCTATGGAGGGGCAGTTCTTTGTTGGCGGCCCACCATGCCTCAAAGGGACCCCTGTCGGCATCGTGTCGAGGTTCCGATGGCTGAAACAGGGCCTCTCGTTTCTCTTTGGAATAGCCTTGCAGCGGCGTGTCGTTGACGCGTCGGTCTTCCGCGTATAGTTCGATGAGTGTTTCGTGTAGATCCGATCCGTTGGACGTAAACGTAGACATTAGGAGTTGTCGCCTTGCGTTGTACGCCGTTTTTATTAAGAGTTGATGCGTAAAATAAACACCTTGGCCTAGCTAGAAAGACATATTATATACGTTAGTATATATATATATATAAAAAGACGTAGTTTAGTGGAGTAAGAATGTAGTTGTTTTCTTACCCAAGCCTGTCTTGAAAGGTTCATATGGCCCGGCGTGAGATAGTCGATGCTCATCTCGCCAAAGAAAACATCATGGGCAACAATGTCCCGGGAGGCTTTATGAGTCATAATTAGCATGAAAAATAAGAAGAAATACGATAAGCATAAGGGCAAGGAGGACGATGGCACCTTTTGAAAATTGAAGTTCGAGAAAGTCTTGCACACAGCCAATCGCCTCGTTTTCCCACGCCGGAAACATGCGTAGAAACGGGGCACCGCTACTTGTTTCTTCGTCCAGCGAGTCAGAGTGTGGAAAGAGGCGGAAGTATAATTCCATGCGGTAAAAGGCGCGACAGAAGCGAATGTATTCCTTTGGTGACAGAGACACGCCCTCTCCGCTGTGTGCAGGCACGATCCGGGACGACAGAAGTGTCCATGCACTGGCCGAAAATGCCGTTACGAAGCTGTGGATGACGTCGTGTATATGGCTCATCTGCGACAGCAGTGGGAACGGCATTGTCGCCAGCTGGCTTGCAAGCGCCCTTCGCTGCAACTCTTGCGCCTCTTGCGACGCCGTGTGCAGCTCCCTGTTGAGCTTATCGAGCAGCGCCTGGACCGTTGGGTCTGTTCGTGGACCAAGACGCGATGCTTCCATCACGGAAACGGCGTACGGAAGCAGCTCTGGGGCGATCTGTCGCTGCAGAATGTCGACTGCGACGTGTGGGTTTTCTTGGAAGCTGGAGTAGACATGACGGCAAGTGAGCAATGCAGAGGACAAGTTTTGCAGGCTGCCAACGTGCCGCAGCACTGCGTTGATGATCTCGCACGGCAGTTTTGTGATGATGGACATTGCTGATGCTGTTGAAATTCACGTCTTCGTCCTTGTTGTTAAAAATATGACGAACACGGTTACAATGTTCGAACTGGTACGCAGTATTCTCTGAGGTGTAAATGATGGGGTATAGATGCTCTGCCCCGCCCCTTCGCTTCATGGAATAATATCACCAGGCTTAGTCACCCAGAGTGGCCAGATTTGGCTGCGCGTGTACGGCAGTCGTCTCATGTGCAGTAGATGTTGTGTCCATGTCGCGCAGAGTAGATGCCCTTCTCTCGAACCCAGCATGAAATGACGCCAGCATGCCCATCGTGACGATTCCTACTCCTTCGGCAGTTGCTTCCTGACATGATGGATCGAGTACTCGAGAGCTTTGGAGGATTGATGGGACCGGTGGGTTCCACGCGGCCGAGGAATAACACGTATCGCCTGTGGCTTTTGGGACCGAATACTTCGTACCTCGAGCTTCAAAAACATGAACTCTTACTTCGTACTTGGAGATGAGCAGCGAAGCAGCGCAAGGTGCCAGGGAATGGAATTTAGCGCTAAAGGAGGCCTAAGAGGCCTAAAACTGCGTCTTTGGCAGCGCACGCGATGTTACCACGAATTCGCAGTGCCGTACCACGGACGCCGCTTTCTGATTCCTAGCCGACGCAAGATGGAATTCCTTTTTGATGTCCTTTGGTTCTAGCCTTTCTGGCTGTTCTTACCGGGCTTTGGCTGTCGAGGTGACTTCGATGCTGTGAACATCCTCCTGTATGGAGAATTGTGCTGTCTCGCTGTCTCCAATTGGCTGCAACCGCTGTACTTGGCACTGTCCAATCCCGACGGTCTTCAATGTAAGATGTGCCAATAGGAGACAACGACTTTGACGGGAAGCTGCGACGGACGAGCCTGTGGACCCCACATTTTTTTTTTTCAAGTCGCAATCGGGAAGGCGCAGCCTGGTTTTTGTCTCGCCGTCCAGCCGAATCAAAGGAAGGAGCCCACTAACTGCCTTGCATCGTTTTGGTCTGCCTTTTTAAGCCTTCCATTTTGCTCTCTGATCGTCCCCTAGCATCTCCCGGCAAGAAGCCTACCCGGGACGGGCAATCTTCGGCGTGCGCTTTCGTTGCTCGAACGTTGTTTGCCTCGCAATCCTGTTTTTCCTTGGCCTCGGCCTGTAATGATCTCCCGCGTCCGTCTTATTTATTCGCAACCACACAGCGTACCTTATGTCGTAGACGTGCACTGCGTCGTTCCTTCTGTTTTGAGTTTGTACCGTTTACCCCTGCTCCTTCCACGCTCCATGCTCCACGCTCCACACTTGTTCCTGCCCAGATCAACCACCAAAGTGGATCCTTTTCTGCCATTGTTCACCGTCTTTCACCATCTGCTTTTTTGGCGGGCTTCCTCTTTCATTTTAACCTCCTCTCCTTTTCCTTCTCGTCACCCCCCTTATGCCCTTCTTTTTCTGCCACGACTCCACCGTCGCCACACCGTCCAGTGGTTCTCCTCTTCCCCTATCTCTCCTTTCTGGAGATTTTTCTCGTGCCCCTTGTCTCTATCTTCTTTTCCTCCCCTTCCCTTTCCCCTTCCCTTTTCCTCGGAACTTTGCAGTTTACAGCCTCATCTTTCTCCCTCAACGCTGGCTCTCGCAAGCTCTGTTCTGGCTGCAATCTCCTCCCGGTAACGGCCAATTGCCCAGTTGCCTGCCGACTGCTCGTCGACCACCCGCCAATCCTACCTCACATGTACGTGCATTTCACATGCCTCCCAATAAACAGCTGCCTGCCTGCCTGCCTGCTGTACTCCGTGCCACTCCATTGCGCCTTCCTCAGCTTTGTCATCCTGCACACGAGCGTTTCTCTGAGCATCGCCAGCTTTTGAAAAGCCTCACTTGTGACGTCCCCATGCTAACATCACGCGTCTCCAGCTCTCGACAGTTGACAGTTGACGCGCCCCTCGACCTGCCAGCCAATGCATCCCCAATAGCCTCAACGCGAACCATTGCCCACCACCGCCATATCGACCATGATTTCCTCCGCCTCGGCCTTTTTGCCCTCCCGCTTCCGCGGCGAGCAGCCCGCCGCCCAGGCCGCCGCACCGTCGTGGCTCAACAAGAAGCTCACCCCGCTGCTGCAGCTCTTGTCCAGCCTCACCTCCTCCCACCCCATCCACACCGTCGTCATCGTCGCCGTCCTCGCCAGCTCCACCTACATGGGCCTGCTCGAGGAGAGCATCTTTGACGCCTCCCGCTCCGTCCGCCGCGCCGACTGGTCGTCGCTGTCCGAGGGCAGCCGCAGCCTGCGCGTCAGCGCCGACACCGCCTGGAAGTGGCAGCCCTGGGACGTGGACGCGGCGCGCGTCCCCAAGACCGCCGACCACCTCGCCCTCCTGACCTTTGTCTTCCCCGAGTCCTCGTCGGACAGCGCCCCCAAGACGGCCCCACTCGTCGACAGCGTCCCCATCCCCGCCAACATTTCCGTCTCCGCCCTGCCCTCGACCGCCAACCCGCTCGGCGCCTATTCGCAGGACACCTCGCTGGCCTTTGCGGCCGCCTACGACGACGCCGCCCAGTTCACGTCGGCCGCCCGCGAGATCCCGCTGCACGAGGCGGCGGACAACAGTGCCGATGCCGACCGGCAGCAGCATGCCGACGACGCCTCGGCCACCCGCGTCACCGAGGAGCACGGCCGCGAGAAGAAGATGTGGATCATGAAGGCCGCCGGCGCGGCCCAGCCCGGCTCCAGCATCCTGCGCTGGCTGCAGAACGGCTGGGTCGAGTTTGTCGACCTGCTCAAGAACGCCGACACGCTCGACATCATCATCATGGTCCTCGGCTACCTGTCCATGCACCTGACGTTTGTCTCGCTCTTTCTGTCCATGCGCCGCCTCGGCTCCAACTTCTGGCTCGGCACCAGCGTCCTCTTCTCGTCCACCTTTGCCTTCCTCTTCGGCCTCATCGTCACCACCAAGCTCGGCGTCCCCGTTAGCATGGTCCTGCTGTCCGAGGGCCTGCCGTTTTTGGTCGTCACCATTGGCTTTGAGAAGAATATTGCTCTGACCAAAGCCGTGCTGTCCCACGCCCTCGAGCGCCGCCGCAACCTGGAGCGTCCGGTTGCCGCCGCCGTCGCCGCTGCTGCTTCGGACTCATCCAAGAAATCGTCGTCCCGCGCCGCCGCCGCGTCGGCCAAGAAGGTCACCACCACCAGCTCGCCCAGCGTCATCCAGTACGCCATCCAGATGGCCATCAAGGAGAAGGGCTACGACATTGTGCGCGACTACGCCATTGAGATTCTGATTCTTGTCATCGGCGCCGCCTCGGGCGTCCAGGGCGGCCTGCAGCAGTTCTGCTTCCTCGCCGCCTGGATTCTTGTTTTTGACTGTGTCCTGCTGTTTACGTTTTACAGTGCCATCCTCTGCATCAAGCTCGAAATCAACCGCATCAAGCGCCACGTCGAGCTGCGCCGCGCCCTCGAGGACGACGGCGTCAGCCGCCGCGTTGCCGAGAACGTCGCCCAGAGCAACGACGGCTTCCGCACCGACGGCCGCGGCGAGCCCGCCGCCTCCATCTTTGGCCGCCAGATTAAGAGCACCAGCGTCCCCAAGTTCAAGGTCCTCATGGTCACTGGGTTTGTCATTATCAATGTCCTCAACCTCTGCACGCTGCCCTTCCGCAGCGCCGACTCGCTGGCCTCCATCTCGTCCATGACCGGTGGCCTCGGTGGCGTCGTCGCCTCCCCGCCCGTCGATCCCTTCAAGGTCGCCGCCAGCGGTCTCGACACCATCCTGGCCTCGGCCAAGGCGCAGAACCGCGACACTGTCGTCACCATCCTCACTCCAATCAAGTACGAGCTCGAGTTCCCGTCGGTCCACTACGCCCTGCCCACGGGCAGCCGCTCCGGCAGCCACGGCGCCTCTAGCTCGGCCGCCGGCTCCACCGCCTCGGACCTGACCTACGGCGGCGTCGGCGGCCGCATGGTCGACAGCATCCTCAAGAGCCTCGAGGATCCCGTTCTGTCCAAGTGGATTATCGTTGCTCTGGCCCTGAGTGTTGTCCTCAACGGTTACCTGTTCAACGTCGCCCGCTGGGGCATCAAGGACCCCAACGTGCCCGACCACCCCATCGACCCCCGTGAGCTGGCCCAGGCCCAAAAGTTCAACGACACCGCGTCCGCCACGCTGCCCATGGGCGAGTACATGCCGCCCACCCCCATCGGCAACAAGCCCATGACGCCCGCCCTGACGGACGACGAGGGCGAGCTGCTCGCCATGCGGCCCCTGAAGCAGCGCGAGGGCGCCCCCAAGCCCAGCCCGTCGCAGGCCGACCTGCAGGCCGCCAAGGCCCAGGCGGCCCTGATCCAGCGCACCCCCGCCGAGATGGAGCAGATGCTCAAGGACCACCGCGCACAGGAGCTGACGGACGGCGAGCTTGTCTACCTGTCGCTGCGCGGCAAGATTCCCGGCTACGCGCTCGAGAAGACGCTCAATGATTACACCCGCGCCGTCAAGATCCGGCGCGCCACCATTGCCCGCACCAAGGCCACGGAGGAGCTCACGGGTCTGCTCGACGAGTCCGAGCTGCCCTTTGAGAACTACAACTGGGCCCAGGTCTTTGGGCAGTGCTGCGAGAACGTCGTGGGCTACATGCCCATCCCCGTCGGCGTGGCCGGTCCCATTGTCATTGACGGCAAGAGCTACTTCATCCCGATGGCCACCACGGAGGGCGTGCTGGTCGCGAGCACGAGCCGGGGCTGCAAGGCCATCAACGCCGGCGGCGGTGCGGTGACGGTGCTGACGGCGGACGGCATGACGCGCGGCCCGTGCCTGAGCTTCGAGACGGTCGAGCGTGCGGGCGCGGCCAAGATCTGGCTGGACTCGGAGGCGGGCCAGAACACGATGCGCAAGGCGTTCAACTCGACGAGCCGCTTCGCGCGCCTGTCGCACATGAAGACGGCGCTGGCGGGCACTAACCTGTATGTGCGCTTCAAGACGACGACGGGCGACGCCATGGGCATGAACATGATTTCCAAGGGCGTCGAGCACGCGCTCAACGTCATGATGAACGAGGCCGGCTTCGAGGACATGAACATTGTGTCGCTGAGCGGCAACTACTGCATCGACAAGAAGGCCGCGGCGCTCAACTGGATCGACGGCCGCGGCAAGAGCGTCGTGGCCGAGGCCATTATCCCCGGCGACGTGGTCCGCAACGTGCTCAAGACGGAGGTCGACACGCTCGTCGACCTCAACATCTCGAAGAACCTGATTGGCTCCGCCATGGCCGGCGCCATTGGCGGCTTCAACGCCCACGCCGCCAACATTGTCGCCGCCATCTACATCGCCACGGGCCAGGACCCGGCCCAGGTCGTCGAGAGCGCCAACTGCATCACCATTATGAAGAACCTGCGGGGCAACCTGCAGATCTCCGTGTCCATGCCGTCCATCGAGGTCGGCACCATCGGTGGCGGCACGATCCTCGAGCCGCAGGGCGCCATGCTCGACCTGCTCGGCGTCCGCGGGCCCCACCCCACAAGCCCCGGCGAGAACGCCCGCCGCCTCGCCCGCATCATCGCTGCCGCCACGCTGGCGGGCGAGCTGTCTCTCTGCTCGGCCCTGGCAGCGGGCCACCTGGTCAAGGCCCACATGGCGCACAACCGCTCGGCCCCGCCGACGCGCACGACGACGCCCGCCCCGCTCACGCCCAGCGGCGCCCTGACGCCCGTGACGGGCCTGACGCCCGTGGTGCCTGGTGGTGCCGCTGCTGCCGGCGTGGAGCGGTCGGCCAGCACGGCGGCGCTGAGCCCGGCGGCGGTGGAACGGTCGCGCCGATAGGCCGGTTGGGCGGGCGGGGTTGTCCACGTTTGACTGTGTCACACGACCAGCAATGGGGAACGTACATTCCAAGTTAAAGACACAATGTTTCTTAAACCCCCACATCTCGGACCATTGTATTGGCCGCATTAATAGTAGATAGATAGAACGGCACTGGCGGGCTTGTCGAACGCGGCGCAGGTTTATGGGCTGGCGTCTGTTACAGGCATCCGCCGTGCCATATTCGCATTCGCATATGCATATGAAAACCCAGTCGATAAGACTTAATATTACACAGCAGTCGGACACATTCTGGGCTTTATTACAATGTTATGTGTGACATGCACGTGCATCAACACGACGGAAAACATAATACACGCAAACCAAAATAAACACTCCATGAAACGGACAAAATCGGAATGGAAACCGCTGGTCGGACGCCGCCAACAAATGCTATTTGTGCTTTCTTTCTTTTTGTTTTTGTTTTTGTTTTTATTTATTTTTTGCATGGAACTACCCTCTTGGTATCTTTGCTGCCCTTCGTCCTCGTTGTCTACCGGCCCACGCGGATGACGCCGGCGGCAATCAGCTTCTGGATCTTGGTGCGCACGCTGGGGTTGCGCATGTGCTCGTTGAGGGCGGCCGGGTCGCCCTGAGCCTGCTGCAGGATGGCCTGCATGACGGGGTCCTGCATGATGCCCATAATGTCCGGGTCGTTGGCGATGCGCTCGCGGGTCTGCTCCTCGGTCTCGTTGTCGCGGGCGCTGTACATGGCGGCCAGGGCCTTTTGCTGCTGCTGGTCAATCTCGCGGGCGTTGGCGCCGTTGTGGAACTCCTTGTCGACGCGGTCGGCCTCGGCGCAGGCGTCGACGCAGTCCGAGTACTTGCGCATGCCAAAGTAGGTCTGGGCCTTGCGGATGTAGGCGCGGACAAAGGTGGGGTCGTGCTTGATGGCGGCGTCGCAGTCGTCGAGGGCGGACGGCAGCTCGAGCAGCTTGGCGTAGGCGGCGGCGCGGTTGCTGTAGCCGCGCGGGTCGGTGGGCGCGCGCCGGATCATCTCGGTGTAGCACTGCACGGCGCCCGGCCAGTCCGTCTCCTTGAACTTGCGGTTGCCCTCCTCGCGGGCCGCCTCGGCCTTGGCCGGGTCAATGTACGCCTGCTTGGCCTCGTCGATGCGGCGGCGCTCGGCCGCGCGCAGCTTGGCGACGACGTCGGGCGTGCGCTGCTCGCGCAGCGACTTGTTGTAGTTGTCGATCGCCTGGTCGAGCTGGCCCAGGCGCTCGTGCGCGGTGCCGATGCGCGCGTACGACTTGGCCATGGTCTTCCAGTCGGCCAGCAGCGCGCGGCCCTCCTCGACGGCCTGGGTGCAGGCGGCAATGGCGGCCTCGTAGTCGCCCTTTTCGAACTGCGCGGCGCCCAGGTTGTTGAGGTACACAATGTCCTTGTGCAGCTCCCACGCCTTTTGGTAGTGGGCAATGGCGTCGTCAAAGTCGCGCTTCTTGTAGCTGGCGGTGCCCAGCGCCTTTTCCTTGTCGGCCTCCTCCTTGGCCGCGCGCTTGGCCTTGGCCTCCTCGTCCTCCTCCTCGGGCGCCTCGGGCTCCTCGACGACCCCCTCGACCTTTTCCTCTGCCTTTGGAGCGGTGGAAGAGGCAGCCGCCGCAGCAGCACCAGCAGCAGCACCAGCACTGGCCGTCGGGGCGTCGGCGGCCTCCGGACCGCCCGCGGCACCCGGCATGCCGGCCATGCTAAGGTCCAGGCCCATGGCGACGCCCATGACCTCAATCATGCGCGGGTCGCTGAAGATGTCTTGCACGTTGCTCGGGTTCGCCTGGATGGCCTGCAGGCGCTGCATAAAGGTCGGGTCGCGCAGGTAGGCGGCGGTCTTGGGGTTGGCGGCCAGCTTGCCGAGCAGCGCCGGGTCCTTGAACATGCCGCCCATCTCGTCGGCTGCATTGGATGGCGGGAAGCTGCTGCCGTCGCCGGCCCGGCCGCCGTCGCGCAGCTCGGCGTCCATGGCGCGCTCGACGTTGTCGAGGTCGGTCTTCATGCCCTTGTTGTTGGGGTCGAGCTTGAGGCCCTCCTGGTAGGCCTCGTAGGCGCGGACAAGATCGCGCTTGCCGTAGAGCGCACTGCCCAGGCGGCCCCAGCCCTTGGGCCAGTCGGGCTTGAGCTGCGTGGTCTTCTCGGCGTCGGCAAAGGCATGGTCCCAGTCGCGCTTGGAGGCGTAGGCCGCCGAGCGGTTGGAATAGAGAATGTGGTTCTCGGGGTCGATGGCGATGGCGGCGGTGAAGTGCTCGACGGCCTCGTCAAAGTTCTTGGCGGCAATGGCCTTGTTGCCGAGCGCCTTGAGCTCGTCGGAGGTGGCCATGGCGGGGGGGCGAGGATGGGTGCGTGTGTTGGCGGCGGGCGGTGGGAGACTGGAGAGTGTGGCGGGTGACGGAGTGAGACTGGGTGAGAGAGTTTGGTGAGTGTCGAGACGCTGGGATGGAGTTGTGACAAATCGTTCCCGATAACTGACACCGGAGGCTGCAACGTTGGGAAGGTACGACTGGGAAAGATCGGGCTGGGTGACAAGTCGTTGCCGGGAGGCAGGCACAGAATAAATCTGCAGAGGGCAGGAACGAGGCAGCGCGGGTGGGGCAGGAAAGCTTTCTAGGCCTTTCGACGTCGTTCGCCCCACTGGACGCTGATTGGCTGCTGGAGGCGAGCTGCCGGTGGGATTGGACCCACTGTAAATTGGAGAACTGGAGATGGCTCTGGTATGACGCTCAAAGCAGAGAGCGCAATCCGACGACACGACGACCAGCTAAGCACTGAGGCACTGCACGGATGGAAATGATTGGGATGCAGACGAGTGAGAGATTCTCATATGTTGGGACGCCGCTTACGCCAAGCAAGCTCGGATGAGACAGGACACGATGTCGCACGGACATCAAACAAAACAAACAAAAGAAAGGACGACGACAACGCCTCCTTGTCCCTGGGCCTAGCGTTCGTCGCGGTTGTCGTTCCAGACGATGCTGTTGCAGCCGCGGACGATGGCGTTGTGGAGGAGGCGCATGTGTGTGACGCCGGTGGCATGAGGGAGAGGACTACAAGACAAGAAAAGCCAAAGAAACAGCAGCGAACACAGGCATCGTCAAGTGACAGCTACAGCTCGGCCTCGGACAAGTTGATTGCCACGGACAGGAGACTGCTCTGCTACCTGCTTACAGCTGCACATCGTGTGAGTTTACCTGCCCGCCGCTTCGACAGCACCCAACGTGGCATGATTTGGCACCGCACCAAAGGGCATCCCATCTTACAATAACACGACTGGCACTCACTTGGTCTGTGTTGCGATCATTGTCTTATTTTGCACCGTCTAGTTCCTTCTTCGTTCTATTCTTTTCCTCCCCGTATGTACAACCTCACCTCACTTTGTTTGTCCATCTGCCAACCTACTTTGGCTGCGGAAACGCGTCCAGCGTGACGGCATCGCCCGTCAGCTCAAACGCCAGCGTGCTCTGCGTCGGCTCGTCCAGCAGCAGCGTGTACTTGCCCGGGTAGAGCACCAGGTTGCCCGCGGCGTCTGTGCGCGCCAGGTTGCCCAGCGACAGCGACAGCGCTGTGGTCGTCGTCTTGCCCGGCGCCACGTTGCGCAGGCGACGGTAGGCGGCGAGCGTCTTGCGCGGGAAGGGCGCCGGCCCGTACTCGCCGGACAAGAACGCCAGGGCCACAAAGTCCGACGTCGTGTTGCCCGTGTTGGTCACGCTGGCGGCGACGTTGGCAAAGTGGCACAGGTCCTTGTGGCGCACGGCCGCCTTGCCGCCCTGCTGCGCGCACCGCGCGACCACGTCGGCAATGCGAAACGCGCTGGTGCCGTTCCCGGCGATGGGCCGCGGGATGGTCGCGTTGCGCGCGCGCGCCGCCGACGGCGTCAGCGTCGTCAGCTTGGCCGCAAAGGTGGTGTAGTGCAGGCCGTGGCCAAACGCCAGCACTGCCTTGTCGTACCAGCGGTACGTGCGGCCGGGATTCGACGAGTGCGGCGTGCCGTCGTCCGCCGCCGGTCGCAGGCGCATGTCGGTCATGGGCACGGCGTCGGTGTAGTTGGCTGGGTACTGCGTCACCGGCAGCCGTCCCGCGGGCGCCTTCACGCCCGTCAGCACATCCAGCACCGCGTTGCCGCCGTCCTGGCCCGGGTAGCCGGCCCACACCACGGCACTGACGTTGCTGTTCGTGAGGAGCGGCGTGTCGTCGGTCTGGTCGCCCAGCTGCACGACCACCAGCGGCTTGCCCAGCGCCGCCAGTGCGTTGACCAGGTTGAGCTGCACGCCCGGCAGGGTGATGTCGACGCGGTCCTTCTCCTCCGCGGCAATGCTCTGGTCGGTGCCGCCAAAGTACAGGACGATGTCCGCCTTGGCCGCGGCCGCCAGCGCCGGCCGCGTCCACGAGTCGGGTGCGCCGTGCCACAGGTCGCTGACGGGCGCCCCGTTCGCGCGGCCAAAGACGACCGTCGACCAGTTGCGCGCCGCAGCCGCGTCCGCGGGGCTGTGGTAGAACGGCGGTATGCCGCTGTAGCCGCCCAGCATCGTGTGCGTCTGGTCGGCCCAGTGGCCGATCAGGGCCACCGTCTTGTTGGTGTTGACCGCCAGGGGCAGCAGCCCGTCGTTCTTCTTGAGGACGAGCCCGTCGACGGCCGACTGGCGCGCCAGGGCCCGCGCCGCCGGCGTGTCCACGTCCTTCCAGCCGAGCGCGCGGTACGGCGACGCGTCGGCCGGGTCAAAGTAGCCCACGCGCACCAGGCCCTCGTACAGCCGCGAGAGGGCGCGGTCCAGCACGGCCTCCGACAGCAGCGACTGGTTGTACGCGCCGCGCGCGTCTGTCCCCGTGGCCGACCACGTCTCGCACACCGTGTCCGTGCCGGCCCCATACGCCGCGGCCGCCGCCTCGGCGCCGTTCTTGTCGTACGCGTGCTGGTGGTCAAAGTCGCGCACCGCGTTGCAGTCGCTCGTCACGTAGTTGTTGTCCTCGGTCCAGCCCCAGTGCTCGCGCAGAATGTCCGTCATCAGGTACGTGTTGGCACACGCCGGCGTGCCGTTGACGGCGTTGTACGAGCACATGATGGACCCGACGCGCGAGTCGCGCGCGCACTGCTGGAACGCCGGCAGGTAGTACTCGCTCAGGTCCTGCAGGGACACGATGGCGTTGAAGCCGTAGCGCTCGGTGCCGTTCCAGCGCTCGAGGTCGTACGCGGCGTAGTGCTTGCAGGTGGCAATGATCTTGCGGATGTTGGAGCGTGTGCTGTTTCCGCCGTGGCCGTGATTGCCCGGCCCGCTCGGGTGCGCGTTCGCCGATCCGTTGCCGCCGCCCACGTAGGGGCCCTCCAGCCCCCGCAGGAGTGCGCGCACGTACCCTTTGATGCGGAACGGGTCCTCGCCGGGCGTTTCGGAGCCGCGGCCCCAGCGCGGGTCCTTGTACGGGTTGATGTTGGGCGTCCAAAAGTCGAGCCCCGACCGGCCGGCGTTGCCAAACGCGCGTGCTTCCGTGCTCACCACCGTCGCGACGCGCTCCACGAGGTCGTCGTCAAACGCCGCCGACAGGGTGATGGGGCCCGCAAACGACGTGGCATGGCTGAAGTCGCTGCTGTTCGTCCCGATGTTGAACTTGACGCCCGGCGACCCGGCCACGCCATGCAGCGCCTCGCTCCACCACTCGTACGCCGGCAGACCAATTCGGGGTGCGCCGGGGCTGGCGTCGAGAAGGTTGTCAAGCTTCTCGTCGACCGTCATGGCCTTCACGAGGGCCGCCGCGCGGGCCGCAGGCGCCGCCTTGGGGTTGCACACCGTGTTGTTGGAGAGGGGCCCATTGGCGCAGTCGGGGAAGGTGTACAGGGCCGCGGCTGGCGAGGCCACGCCTGCCAGCAGCAGTGCTGTGAGAGAGGGCATTTTGACAGGGTGAACAAGGTCAGCAGTCAATAGTCAAAAGTCAACAGTCAACAGTCAACAGTCAACACTAAACAAAGTTTGTTGCTACCATTGGTCTTGCAACAGCAACAAAATGTCCTTTGTTGTTCGCACACTTCATTTTATATGTGATTGTCTTCAGCATTCAACTGCTTACGCCAGTGCGTACACCAGTTCTCCAGCTGTTTAATTGCGTTCCTGATGAGCGGTAATTGCATTCGGCTGCCGTTCTCTTGGGCCATACAGCGGCTAAGTTGCGGGTTGATTGCAAGATGATTGCGAGCTGATTGTAAGCGGGGATATAATCGGCACGCAAATGCCGTCTTCCGAGCGGCTGGAAAAGCCGCTGCCGTCCAGTGTCGTCATTATTATCCAGAGTGTTTTTGTTTTCGGGGAGAAACGAGAAAACCCTCACCGACGCAAAAGCTCCATAATCTCCGCACCCTCCACCCCTCTCCACAGCTGCCACGAACGCCTCGCTACATCCACGCCTTCCTCTCGCCATACCCCATGCCTGTCGCCGTCCGCCCTGGCTGGCCCGTCAGAATGCGCGACTTGGTCCGCGGCAAGTACTGTCCGTCGCCCGGCTGGCCGAGCACGCCGCCGTGGTCGCGGTCCCAGACACGGCGGCCGCGGAGGAAGACGTAGCGCGGCCAGTTGCGGACGGCGCGCCCTTCAAAAGGTGTGTAGTCGATGCGGTGGTGGAGCGCCGCGTTGGTGATTGTAAAGGGCGGCGACGTCGCCGGATACCACACGACAATGTCCGCATCCAGCCCCGGCTGCAGACTCCCCTTCTTGTGCGCCAACCCGTAGAGCTGCGCCGGGTTGGTCGATGTCAGCGCGACAAACCGCGGCAGCGAAATGTGCATAGGCGCATCCTCGGCCGCTGGCGGACCGACCTCCGGGTCGTATGTCCGGTCAAAGAGCAGCGGCAGGCGTGTCTCGATGCCGGGCAGGCCGTTGGGCACCACGCGAAAGTCGACGTGGCCCGCCGCCGTGATCCCTCGCTTCTTGCCGTCCGGGTGGTCATACAGCGCCGGCGCATGGTCCGACGAGACGACCGTGTACGTGCCGTTGGCCAGCTCGGCCCACAGCTGCTCGAGGTCGCGCTTGTCGTGTCGCAGCGGCGGTGCACAGATGTGCTGGGCGCCGTCGATGCCGTCATGACCACCAAGACCACCGTCACGATCGTGCGAGTGCAGCTTCTCGCTCGTCAGGTACAGGTAGTGCGGACACGTCTCGGCATGGATGGGCAGCAGCCGCGCCTGGGCGGCCCGCACGTGCTCCAGAGCGGCCGGCGCAGACATGTGCACCAGCAGGATGGGTGCGTCGGTCACGGCGGCAAGGCTGATGGCGCGGTACGTTGCCTCGGTCTCGGCAATCTGGGGGCGCGCAACGGCATGGAACTGTGTCTGGGTGTGGCCACGTGCGGCCAGCCGGTGCATAATCTGCTCGACCATGTCGTGGTTCTCGGCGTGTATCATGGTGGTGACGCCCAGGGAGCGTGCGGCCAGCATGATGCGGAACAAGTCGCCGTCGCCAAGGTGCAGTGGGGCGTACGTCATGTATAGTTTGACGCTGGTGATGCCACCACCGTCGGCCCGCGCCAAATGCGGGAGGTCCTCGTCCAGAATCTCGTCGGTTGCGTTGGTGACAATGACGTGGAACCCATAGTCGCAGTAACTGTTGCCGGTGGCCTTGGCATGGTACCGCTCGACACAAGGCCCCAAGCGAGTCTCGTCGCGCCGCTGCGACGCAAACGCCAGTACTGTTGTGTTTCCGCCGGCAATGGCCGACCGCGAGCCTGTTGTCCACGTGTCGCCGGTGGGCGAGTTGTCCTGTTCAATGTGGGCGTGCGAATCCACCCCACCGGGTGTGATGTACGCCCCCTCGGCATCAACAATTTCCGTGTTCGGACCCGCGTCGAGATCAAGACCGATGACCGCAATCGTGCCATCCCTCACGCCAATCTCGAGCCCGGCCGGCAAGATTTCGGTGGCCGTAACGATACGGCCGTTGCGTATAATCAAGTCGAGCATGGTGGGAAGGAGATGGTCGTTAACAAAGAAAAAAAGAAAAACATAAAAGCCACAAGAAAAAGAGGTATAGAGAGAACGAAAAGATGATAAAATGATAAAACTTGACGATGGCAGGCTATGAAAAGAGTCAAATAAAGTCGTGATCGTAAATAGTGAAGCACACGCTAGAAACAACGGAATACAAGACGTCCCTGCATGCCTTATCGCGGAGCCGGCCGCGACGTGGACCCTGCATGGATAACGGGGATGATAACAGGTATTAATCGCCGCAATGGATCGGGTGTACAGCTGCGATAAGGAAGCGCCGAGGGTTCATTGCAACGTGCAGTCGCGGCAGACAAAACTAAGACCCAATCGTCAAAGCAACGACGACTTGACCAAAACTGGACAGAGAATGCAACGACAACTCATAGTCGTTGCCGCTTGTCGGTATTTTCGGCACCCTCGTAGCTTTCAACAGCTGCCTTTCTCTTTGTCGTCGGCGAATCAGGATTCCAGCCTGGGACCTCGGATGTGCCATGGTCTTTCTCACTTTTACGATCCTTGCCATCATTGCCCTCTTTGCCCTCTTTGCCCTCTTTGCCCTCTTTGCCATCAGTACCGTTCTTTCCATCGTTTCCAACTTTGCCGTCTTTTTTGTCCTCGTCGCTCGGAATCCAGGCGCGATCAAAATCCAGGACCATGACGCGCTGCAGCTCTTTGTTCCAGGCCAAGTTGGGCGACCGGATGTCATCGTGGGCAATGCCGCGCTCGAACAGCGCGTTCTCCATGTCATCCAGCAACTGACGCACGGCGTCGTTGTCATAGACGTCCAGCGCCATCTCTGGCGGCACGTACAGGTCCAGCGACACGCCGACCCACGACAGGAGTGCGAGGTGCCACACGCAGGCGCCCGACGGCAGAATGTACGGCCACTCTTCGAGCTCGACCCAGCCGAGGTACACGGGCATCAGCACGCCCTGCAGCGGCTGCGCAACGGGGTGCGTGTAGATGGCGGCCTCGTCCTTGAGATACTCCTCGTCGGCGTCCTGGACGCCCTTGGCCACAAAGGTGTACCCGTAGGCGCACAGCGTGACCTTGAACAGCGTGCCGATGGCACCAAACAGCCCGTACTTCATGAGGCACTCGACACCGGCGCTGAGGCTGTCCGTCAGCTGCTCGAGGAGCAGACTGCAGAGCTCCGCAGACGTGATGGGGTGGCAAAGCTGGCTGTCCGGCTGCTGGCCATCGGCCCCGACCGACACCGACCGTCCTTTTTCGCCCTGCGGTCCCCGCACATGCTCCGGCGTGTTCGGGCAGCGCGGGTCGAGCGGACCGCCGCGACAGAGACCAAGCAGACACGCCTGCGTGCAGTAGTTTCGCCGGGGTGGCTCTATGCGACCAACACGTAAAGGCCGCGATGATCCACTGCCAGGTTGTGCAGAATTGCCGCTCGCAGGAGCACCACCACCACCACGCGACGACGGTGAAGGCGATGGAGGCTGTTCTGGCGGCATGGCCGCGCCGCCGCCGCTGCCGCCGTCGCCGCCACCACCCCTTGGCGAACGGACGTTGCTGCGATCGATTGCGTCCCCGCCACTGCTGGGCTCTTTTGCGGGCGCGGCAGGCCATCGCGGGAGGCCGTCGAGCAAGGCTGTTGTGGCCGCTGGAGCTCGCATCTCTGCAATGAGCGCCTCGAGGACCAGCGTGACCATTTGGGCCGCGGGCACATGCATGAGCTCCGCGTCCGGCCGTGTAATGGGCGTCGCCGGTACGGTGTGATCGACAAAGTGGTAGAGCAGCGTGTCAGCGTTGTCGGGCGACATCATGAGAAACACCGTCGCCTCGCCAGAGGACACGTAGCCGTAGACGGTCCCGCAGGCGACCATGTAGTGGTATGCCTGGCATAGAATCTCGGCAATTCTTGTTTCGTTGCTGCTACTGCTGGCGGCATCAGTAGCGTCGGTGGTGGTGGTGATGCCGCTGCTACTTGAACGACGCTGCGCACAATCGTCCATGAACGACGCGGCCGGCGGCACGCCACCGAGGACGTTGCGCAAGTCGCTGCCGCGCACTTTGTGCGCAGCTTTGTACTCGCCGGGGAGAATGCTCTCGGACAATGCTGGCAGTTCTAGCCCACCAGCATCGACGTCGGCATTTGGGTCGGCGCCGGCATCCGCTGCGGGTCGTCGCACGCGCAGACCCCACCGGTCCGGCACCAGAGCCGAAGAGCTGTCGAATTTCCGCTTGAGGCGAGACGAGCTGCTCTGGCTGTTGCTGGGGCTGCTCGTTTCTTCGTCTTGTGCATTGGTGCTGGCAGGACCGCGTTTTTTCCGCCCGAATGTGCCGTGGGCGTTGTTTCCAAAGTGGAATCCGAGCCCCGTGTACCGGGCGTCGGGCGTCCGCCGGAGAAATTCGTGTACAATCTGCATCGACGGTACCTCGAGGTACGCCCGAATAAAGGGCCGGATGTCCTGCTCGTCGCGGCGCTTGCCGGGCGAGAGATTGCGTGCCACCGACTGGGAGTCATTGTAGGACGGAAAGAGCAGGTCGTCGCCAAAAAGGCTCGTGAGCACGTCAAAGTGCTGCTGGTGCAGCCGGGCAAAATCGGTCCATGGGCGCAGCGCCCGCGGGTACACCTTGCCCGCGACATTAGCCGCCTTCCCGACTGCTGCTTGATTGCGGTCCGTCTCGACGCGGAGCGTTGGGCGGATTTCTAGGTGGATGTTGTGCAGGTAGTTGAAGTACACCGTGTTGCGATTTCTTGCCTGCTCGGCTAGGCGGGCGTCGCGTTCAGCCTTGGCAATTTGTTCCAGTTCTTGAACGCGCGCTCTCTCCTGGGCCAGCTGTTCCTGCAGCTGCTTGACAAGGTCGTTGTCCATATTGTCTCAAGTAAAGTGGTCTACCGTCTTGTCAACAATCACGCGCTGTGGGAATGGATGATTTAACGGTGGCGCTGTCGTTGACGCAGGGGTGTGTGACGACGTCCTTTTTGTTTGGAGAGCATGGCCGGATTGTAAACAATAGGAGACGAGGAGAAGGGGGAGAAGGGAAGATAGTAGGGGAGGGCAACGGAAGTGCAGAAAAGGGGGGAAGGGGGAAGAGGGAAGGGGGAAGGGGGAAGGGGGAGTGTGACGGAAAGAGCAATGTGATGTGATATGCAGAAGGAACGATGGACGGGCCAGCCTCGTTAGGCAACTACGGGCTCGAGCGAATCAGAAGGCGGCATCCGTGACAGGCAAAGCTAGCGTGCCGCTGCCTTCCAGCCTACACAGTGTTCGGCCGCTGTGGCGCTAACTTCTGGTGAAGTGCATCGAAGGCCATCAACATGCCCAGGGTTCACTTTTCGGTTGACGCAAAATTGACTTACTTTTGGGCCCTGGGGCATTGGCATCCTGGGCAGCTTCGACTCCGCCTTCCAGTGCCTTACCGGCATTGCCTACTCCTCAACTGAACTGCTCTGTATTGGCGATGCTTCCGACGTGTAAGTTCTGCTGTGATGGTGCATAGCTTCACTTCTCCCATAGTAGCAAGCAGTACGTAAAGTTTCATTCTCGTATGACAGATTACCAGCGATCGACGTCAATCTGTAACCACAACCTCAACTCTTCAGAATTACTCCGGGCACCTTCCCCAACCCCTACACCTTCTCGTTCGGGCCGGCAATCAAGATCTTAATCACCTCGCCCTGCTTGACCTTCTTGAACGCCGCCTCCGCGCTCGTAAACGGCACCGTCTCCGACACCAGCTTGCTCACCGCCACCTTGCCCGACGCCACCAGCTCGACGGCCAGCCGGTAGTCGCCCGCGCCGTACCGGAAACTGCCCCGGACCGTCACCTCCTTGACGCACAGCGCCACAATCGGGAACGTAATGTCCGGCTTGCCCATGCCGCCCTGCACGTACGTGCCGCCCACGCGCACCACGTGCAGGCTCGCCTGGATGCTGGGCTCGGCGCCCGAGGCGTCAATCACCACGTCGGCGCCGCGGTTGGCCTCCAGCCCGGCCGTCTTGAGAATGTTGGCGGCGTTCTCCTGCGGCGTCACGCGCTGGCTGATGTACGTGTGCGTCGCCGCAAACTGCTTGGCAAACTGCAGCTTCGACTCGACAATGTCCACGCTCACGACCGTCGTCGCGCCAAACGCCTTGGCCACCGCGCAGCACAGCAGGCCCACGGGGCCCGCGCCCATGACGACGACCGACTGGCCGGGCTGCACGCGCGCCTGGCGCCCGACAATGTGCACGGCGACGGCCAGCGGCTCAATCAGGGCGCCCTCCTGCAGCGACACGTGCTCGGGCAGCTTGTAGCAAAAGTCTGCGGGCGCCTTCCAGAAGCCGGTGAGGGTGCCGTCGTACGGCGGCGTCGCGGCAAACTTCATGTCCGGACACAGGTTGTAGTGGCCCTCGAGGCAGCGCACGCACCGCCGGCACGGGTAGCCCGGCTCCAGGGCGACGCGGTCGCCGATCTGGAGGTCGCTGACCTGGTCGCCCGTGGCCACCACCGTGCCGGCCGACTCGTGGCCCAGCACCATCGGGTCCTTGACCACAAAGTCGCCAATGGCACCGTGCTCCCAGTAGTGCACGTCCGAGCCGCAGATGCCCGTGTAGTTGACGGCCACGAGCACTTCGTGCGGGTCGGCCACCGACGGCACCGGCCGGTCCTGGTACGTGACGTCATGCGGCTTGTTGAGGACGAACGAGGAGTTCTAAAATGTTAGGGCTTGAGCCATGCCATATAGAAATGCATTGAGAACGAGAATGAAATGTCCAACGAAAAGGACGAAAGGACGTACCGATTTGCCGTCTGTTGCGGAAGCCATTGTGATGGGACGGGTTGAGGACGAGGAGGGGAAGTCGATGGCGATACTTTGGTGAGGAGTCGAAGCGAGGAGAGCTGTGAGAAGGCGTTGAGAAAGGAAAAGTAGGAGGGGAATGGTAGAAAGGAGAAGCAGTCACGACAGGAAATGATAAAATCGAGGAAAGATGAAGGACAAGAAAGCCGAACGCCCAGACTTCATCTTTTTTCTGTCTGGCTCTGTCTCGCTCACTCTCTCACGAATCGAGCTAACAGCAGCTATGACAGCTTGGAACGATCACAACCCACTCCATCCACTGCATCCACTGAGCCCACTAAACCCCAATTACCCAGAAGCACGCGCACACACCTCGCACGCTTCGACAACACGCCCGCCGCATGTCGGAAGCTGTTAGCGCGGGGGCGACCGTTTCTGGAACACAAGGAGACAAGTAAACCCCCCCCCCCCCTGGCGCCCACCCCCGCTGTTCTGTTCTTTGCCGCTCTTTTGCATCACGCATCAAGGTCACATTGACACAGCTTCGTTTTCTGTGGTTTGACCACACGCTTCGTCATTCCTTTGCCGTATGCTCTCTGGCTTACTCTTGCGTCCGACGCTCGGCGCGTCTCCTGCCATATCCCATGCCGCCCGCTCGGGAACAATTTCCAGAACAAGCACCTCCTTCGGGTCGCTCCAACAGGTCGCTTGTTCTGCCTCCCCCCCTCCCTAGACCACTGCCGTTTTCAACTACTCCGAAACCCACTTCCATCGCCCTCCATTCCACCACTCATATCAATAATTCGCCGAGCGTTTTGGCTTTTTGCAGTCGCTTTTCTTCGTCGTCCGATCCCCTCAGCCTTTCGTCGGTCGACCCTCTTCCCCATTTCTGTAAATAACCGTTTTAACCGCACCAATCATGAACGTGGCCCCGTTCTTGGGTCTCTTTCTCCTTCACTTTCTGGTTTTTTCTTCTCCTTTTGTTCACCCTTTTCACTTACACGCACCCTGTGCAGACACTCACCGAAACACCACAACTCACGACGGCACTACTGCAACGATCCAAATCTCGGTCGTCCACGGGACTCGGAAAAAAAAGAGCGACGTGCATGTGTGCATATGTAACGGCGTGTTGCAGACAGCTGTTGCGGTTTCCTGCAGGCCATTGAATATATGAGAATCCGCTGCTTCTTGCATGCAGTTTGTTGTATGCGGCTTGTTGGTACTGTTTGTCGTTGTCTCGTGTATTGCCTACCGTACTATACCGTCCACGAAGTTGTTTGCGTAACCTTGGCCGCTTTGGTCATCCACTTATTCCCCCTCACGAGCTCAATCCCAAGTATCTCGTGGTAAACCGCGTAGACGCCGTCGCGCCCGTCACGCCCAGCTGCACTGTCTCGCCCGGCACAATGTCCACCAGGTTGTCGTCGAACCGCACCGCGTCCGCCTCGGCGTTGGGCGTGTCCTCGTGCACTTCGACGGCGACGCCCTTGACGGGCACGTCCGAGCGGACGGCGACGGCGACAACCGCGTCGCCCGACGACGTGACCACGTCCACCGTCAAGTCGGGCTTGGCCAGGTGCAGGTACTTGAGCGGCTCCGGCCAGTTGACATACCGAGCAATCTGCTTGGACGACGCTTCCAAGTACGCCGCCACGACCGTCTTCGCCTCCTCGCCCTTGACGCCCGGCACGTCCAGCGCCGCCAGCTCCGTCGACCGGTTCGCCTTCAGCACGATCCCCTCGGCCACCGTGCCCTCGTACGTCAGCTTGCCCGTCTCCACGTCCCACGCGCGCACCACGCAGTCGACACCGTCAATGTCTTGGAGGGTCAAGTTGGAGCCCCAGATTTCGATTTGTGTGCGCCGCGCAATGTCGATCCGCGAGTGGCTGTGTCCGCCCGCCCTGCTGTGCGCATGCTCCCTGCGCGTCATGCCCACGGTGACGGGCGCCATCTCCCGCTTCACCGTGAAGTAGGCGTGCTTGGGCCGCAGGTAGTAGTCGCAGATGCTCCAGCTGGTCACGGGCCAGCAGTCGTTGAGCTGCCACACGAGCGCGCCGCCGCAGTACGCGCGCCCCGGCCCCTGCCACTGCCGCTTCCACAGCCGGTACGCCGACGCCAGGCATTCGGCCTGCATCAGCTGCGTGCAGTACACAAACTGCTCGAGCGGGTCGGGCGCGTACCGCAGGTTTTCGACGAGGTACAGCGCGATGCACCGCTCGTGTCCGTCGGCCTTGTTGTGGAAGTCGATGGTCGCGCTCTGCGGGTAGCGGTCCGCGTCGTCGCGGCCGCTGGGCAGGAACTGGTCAATGGTGCGCACGCTGGGAAACGCCTCCATGCCAAACTCGGACACGAACCGGCCGACGAGCCGGTCAAAGTTTTGGTACTTTTCCTGCGTGCCGTGCCACACGTTCCACTGGTGGATGTCGCCCACCGTCGGGTCGTGCGTGTCCACGCCACCGCCCCACGGGCTGCCGTAGTGGTACGGCGTGCCCGGGACCAGGGCGCTGCACACGTCGGCCAGAATCTTTTCGTAAATGTAGCGCGCGGGGAAGTCCGTCTTGAGCCAGCTCTCGGCGTCCTTGTTGGCGTAGTCGTACGTCAGGCCCTCGCTCTCCTGGTACTGGTAGTCCTCGTTGTTGCCCGCCCAAATCACAATACTGGGGTGGTGCCGCAGCAGGCGCACGTTGGCCGCCGCCTCGCGCCGGATCGAGTCGCGCAGCGCCGGCCACGCCGGGTAGTTGCCGCAGCCAAACATAAAGTCCTGCCACACGAGCACGCCGAGCTCGTCGCAGGCGTCGTAAAAGGCCTGTTCCTCGTAGATGCCGCCGCCCCACACGCGGATCATGGCCTGGTGGCCGTCCAGGGCCAGCTTGACCCAGTCGTGGTAGCGCTGCCTCGAGATGCGCGGCACAAAGTTGTCCGCCGGGATCCAGTCGCTGCCGCCGCAGAAGATGGGCACGTTGTTGACCTCGAAGAAGAAGCTGGTGCCCGGCTGACCCTCCAGCGGCTGCTGCACGAGGCGGGAGCGCCGCAGACCAATCTTCTTGGTGGCTGTGTCTGCTTCGGTGTCCCCGACAAGCAGTGTCGCCCGGACCGTGTAGAGCGGCTGCTTGCCGTAGCGGGCTGGGTACCACAATGCCGGGCTGTTAATCAGGAACGTGGCCGTAGCGGTGCCGTTGGGAGTGTCGTCGTCGTCGTCGTTGTCGTCGTTGCTGCGCTTCTCCTTGGCGGCCACGTCGACCGTCTCAGACGCCACAGCCACGCCGTCCAGCGACACGTCGAAGCGCACCTGTGTACCGGCAACCGACCGGGCTTCCACCTCCGCTCGGGCCGCGACCGTCGCCGACCGCAGCGACTCGTCCACCGTCGTGTCAAAGGACAGGTCCGACAGGCGTGCGTCGTACACCTCCACATGGATCGGCCGCCACGGCCCGCACGTCAGCAGCACCGGGCCCCAGTCCCAGCCCCAGTGGTACTGCGACTTGCGGACCGCAAGCCGCGAGTTGTCGCCGTTCCAGCAGCCCCATTTGTGGTCCGGATGCTGCTCCACCAGGTCCCACCCACGGAGGTAGGCGCTGTCAAAGGTGATTGCGAGGTCGTTGGGGCCATCGGCACGCACGGTGTCGGTCACGTCCACGCGGTACGGTAAAAACATGTTGTCGCCCTCGAGGATGGTCTTGCCGTTGAGCACCACGGTGGCAAATGTGTCGAGGCCATCAAAGGCGAGAACTGTCTTGCTCCCTCCGGGCGACGACGCAGCCTTGTCCAGGGCGAACGTCGTCTTGTATACCCATGTCGTCTCGCCAATCCACTGCACGAGTTGCTCGTTCTTGCCCACAAACGGGTCCGGGATACGCTCATGCGCCAGCAGGTCGAGGTGCACATTGGTCGGGAACTGGCCCACGGGCAGCCAATGTGTGTCGTCCTGGTCCGCCTGCTTGAACGACCAGCCCTGGTCGACGGGGACAACAACGCGGGGATGGGAGGAAGAGGAAGCCATCGTGGTGGTCGGCCGTGTATGGTGCGCAATGGGTGTTTGCGAGGCCAGGTCAGCCACCGCCGGGAAGGACGTGGTGTACGTCATATATTTGTAGATGTGAGAGCTTCCCCTCCGAAGCAGCTCGAAAGCAGTACAATGTACGATTCCAAAAAGGGGCCATGCAAATCAGCTGATTCTTAACCAAAACCGTCGGCTCGGGGGAGGCGCCACCGAACGATTGTGTTAGAGCTCAGACGGCGGAAGGTGCGGCCGCGGCAGTCACCACGCTGCTGACGGTGAATGCACAACAACAGCAAGCGCGATCAACGAGGCGGGCGTGAGGCGGTATTGGCAGTCGTTGTTCCGGTAGCGGTGGGGTGCATGGGGCCTTATGGCGGTTGCTCCTTCCCTGTGTGGGGATGGTGGGGTTGTGGGCAGGAGCTTGGCCTCGTCCTGGTTCTTCGTCGTTGCGGCCCCGTATTTGCTTTGGCTGCTGTTCCTGTCGTGTAAACTTCGGAAGGCAGGCGCGGAGCATCGCTCTCCGCTTCCCTCATTAGGCTAAACTAGCGACTGTGCAAAGGCGCGATTTGCTGGGCGCGCCTTTTGGCTACGCATTGATAGACCTTTGGTAAGGTTTGCGACGACTCTGTGTAACTTGTGATAAGCTAGGTTACGATGCTGTGGAATTATTTGAATGTCGGTGGCTGAAGAGTACGGATCCCGGAGAGTAAGGCGGCCAGGCAGCCGTGCACAACTCTACACAATCCAATGGTTATGGACAATGCCGATACGACAAGTGCTGAGGCAAAGCCGAGCAGGTAGTGTTTTGACAAGTCGTGGTATTTCTGAAGGGGAAATCTATGTCCATGAAAACAAAAGAAAAAGACGTAAAGCCGAACCAACGCTGATGCCTTCCACACAGGAGAATAAGTGTACACACGAAAAGAAGTGAGAGGATAGGAAAGTATGAGGGCTGCCATGTGGACGAGAAAAGAGACAAAAAGGACAAAAGAAAAGAAAGGAAAAGACTCATGACATCCTTCGCCGTGGCATCGAACGGCATGCTCGGTCGTAGGACGCTCGACACCGCCATCTACAGCGGCATCTGGTGCAGCGGGCGGATGCTGCGCAGCTTCAAGTGCATCGTCTGCGTGTCGTACTTGCGCGTCTTGGGATCCCAGTATGCCGACACCGCAATCATAATGCGCGACGTCGGCGACTGCAGCTCCACGAGCCCGGACACACCCACGCTGCCGCTCGGTGGTTGTGGCCGCAGCGGCAGCCACGTCTCGGACAGTTTCTGGCGGAACGCACGCCACGAGGCATCGATGCTGGCGCGCACAGACTGGAAGGGGATCATGTCCCGAGCGCGGAGGAGGTCGGACAGCTCTTCCCAGTTGGCGGGCCGCTTCTCTGGCCGACCGGCAGGCTGCGGCCGGCGTAGAGGCGGCGAGTGCGAGTCAAAGCCCGTGCTGGTGAAGGGCCCAGGTGTCGTGCCGGGCGCCGCCTGGCCATTTCCTTTGAGGTCCTTGTCGTCCTTGTCGTCCTTGTCCTCCTTGTCGTCCTTGTCGCCCTCTCCGAACCCGCCGCGCTTGGCCCGCGACACATCCTTGTTGATGTCGTCGGATATGCGCTTCAGCTTCTCGGCGAGCCGCGCCATCTCCTCGGGCGGGGGGATCGCAAACTTGGAGCTGGGGCTGGTCTTTGGCTCCTCGCCAAAGCCAAAGAAGCGGGCCACGTTCTGCATGTTCTGGCGGGCCAGTGTTGTCACAAACGACGTCGCCGACAGCGCCACGGGCTCCGGCCACAGGGCCCGCGAGATGCGCATCATGGTGACCGAGTCCACCTCGGCCGTGACGTAGTCCAGGCCGTCGGCCGTCAGCAGCAGCCCGTCGCGCGTGATCTTGGGTGGTGGGCGGTAGGGGAAGTCGACGTCGAGCCAGTGCTTGCGCACCTTCATCCCATGGCCGCAGCGATGCCGCAGAACCGGGTTCGCTTCGGCCGCGGCGCGGACCGTCTCGAGCATGTCGTTGCGGATCTTCATGAGCAGCTCGCGGTCGCGTGCGATGCGGATGTATGTCTGCCACTCGGGGTCCGTGCCCTTGTACGGCCGCGACTCCACGACCTGGAACGTAAAGGGCAGCGGAAAGAAAATGGGCTGCGCGTCCTCGTCGTCGATCATGTCGGCAAACGGCGGCAGGACCACGCGCGTGAAGTAGGCCGACCAGCACATGTATATGACGCCCGCGCCGATGGCCGCATTCCGCCATCTACGGCCGGACTTGATCCGGACGTAAAATGTGGAGGGCGTTGCTGCTGGCGAGGCGGCAGCGCGCGAGAGGCCGGCAGTCAGTGGTCGTCGGGGCAGCCAGGACGCGAGCGGCGCCCTGGACGCCCATAATGAGCGGAGCATGGTGTGAGATATGCGAGAGTACCGTGTTCCGGTGCGAAGTGCGTAGAGGAGAGGGCGATCTCGAGATGTGGCCGGCGGCCCGACGCTGTGAGGGTGTCGTCGCCAGGCAATTCTGGTGATGGTGCGATGCCGTCTGAGACAAGAGACAGTTGGTACGAAAACGGTTGTCGGCAGTTGTCAGGCACCGCCGGCAGTCAGATGGATGACGGTGGGTATCGATAAAGTATTTCGTCAGGACGTGGGTAGTCGAGCAGAAAGGAAAGGAAGACGAAAAAGAGTGTCACGAAGTGTCACGAAAATCTGCCTGAGAGCCGCGAGATGATGTCCTTTGCTCCTTCCCGTTGTCGCCGAATGAGCTAAAAATGGCCTTTTCAGGGCAAGAACGACAACAGAAGCCTTCCGCCCAGGGCTCGCCAGGCTAGGCCACCACCCCTGTTGGAAGGTCCGGTCCCACTGAGCCACTATCGCCGACGGGCCATCGCAGTTCACAGAGCCGAATACAGTGGATAAGACCGTACCTACAGGACTCTACGCACGGCCTCGTATCGTCTGGGCACCTTCCCGCTCCAATTGCAGGGACGGATGAATAATGATCCACCTTTACGCTGCAGCCTGTCGTCCTTGCTGGGGTCGCTCTTGCGTCTTTTGTCTGGCGTAGCTTCCAGCTTCATTTCGCGATAACGGCCTGCTTGACGACGTCCACCTTTCCGTTCACTGCCCATTGCCGTCGCCCATCATCGCCCGCAATCGACCATCATCACACGACCGCACACACCCTTCCTGTCGACGCCGCCACGATGAAGTTGCTTGCCGGCTTGGCTGTCGCGGCCTGCCTGGCCAGCTCGGCCGCTGCCGCTGCCGTACCGGCGCCTGTCTACCTCCTTCGATCATCACCATCGTCATCCTCGCCCTCCTCTTCCTCTACATCGCCCAACCTCCCCCGCCAGATTGCTCGCCAGGTCCTGCTGCGGCGGTTAGGGGCCAGCGACGGCAGCAGCTTTTACGACAGCCTCCCGCGCGACGTTGACCCCGAGACAGCGCTTGGCCTGATTGAGCAGTTTGGCAGCAAGGCGAAGCCTGCACTGTTTGCCGAGGACGCGTCATCCGCAGCAGCAGCATCGTGCGAGATGCTTGTGGTCGTGCAGGGCGCCCAGCCCGAGCATGTCGCCGCCCTCGAGGCCGCGCTGCCGAGCGCGTTTGCCAAGCCGGCGTTCACGGTCGCCGACCCGCCGTCCGAGGCGGCGAACACCCGTCTTTTCGTGGACGAGCTGGCCAGTGCGGGCATTGCGGCCCACACGGCAACGTCGGTGGCCGATGCCGTCGCGGCACCCGCGTCCTGGGCCCACGGCATCTTTGTCGGTCTCTACGATGCAAAAAAGGTGAGACTGTCTCCTCGTCCCAGTACTTTTTCGTTTTGCTCCTCCCTAACTGTTTAGGACGCAACGACTGTCGATGCCCTCGTGGCCACGCTCCCCGACATTGTCACCCTTGTCGAGTCCGGCGCCGCCGACGTCGCCCTCCTGCTGCTGCCCGAGTCCAGCCGCTACGCCCAGTGGAAGCAGTGGGCCTCCAGCAAGGGCCTGCAGCCCGCAAACGCCCGCCTCCTGCCGCCCAAGGCCCGCCCGGCTGCCTCGGAGCTGCGCATCCGCGGCGCCAGCTCCGAGTTTGTCATGGAAGAGGAGAAGGAGGACAAGGAGGAGAAGGAGGAGGGCAAGGGCGTCAAGTTCGTCGCCGCCGCGGCGCCCCTCGCGCCGATCCCCGGCTGCTTCCAGTCCTTCAACGCCTGTGTCGCGCAGACCAACAGCTGCAGCGAGCACGGCAAGTGCATCGACAAGTACGCGGCCAACAACGGCGGGGTCTCGAGCAAGAGCCCCGCCGGCAGCTGCTTTGTGTGCCACTGCTTCAAGACGTTGAATCGCCCAGCGGACAGCCCCGGCGGCCTCAGCACGACGCAGTGGGCCGGCAACATGTGCCAGAAGCAGGACGTCAGCGTGCCGTTCTGGCTGCTGACAGGCTTCACGGTGACGATTGTGGGCGCCGTCAGCTTTGCGATTGGCCTGCTGTTCAGCGTGGGCGAGGAGAAGCTGCCGGGCGTCATTGGCGCAGGCGTCAGCCGGGCGAAGTAGAGCCTGTTAACAGGCGTGCATCCCGTGTTACAAAGTGTCAGTTGTGGCCCTGTAATAGTACCCGAGTCTTGTTGGGATTTGTTTGCATCAAGAGGCTGTAGAGTCTGGCTTTGTCGTGTGACTTTTTCCTTCTGTCGCGATGACAAATACCATCGAATTTTGGCAACCATCATTTTCCATGTTCTATAGTTTTTTTATATCTTTTACTCTGACTTCAGGCGTTGGCATCACATCATTTCGTATGCAAATGAAATATAATTACACTTCTGGGCCAGAAGGAAAACAATAAAAGCACATGGTATTCGCTGTCTAGTATTACAATGTCCGTGACCTTTTCGTTCTCAAAACACGTCGTCAGGATTCGGCCGCCGTGTGGGTGTCGTTCCTAAACTCTCCAGGCCGCGCTGTACGGGGAAATCACCCGCAAGGCCGGGTGGCAGGGCCCGCAGCGGCGATTGTGTCATGTCCAGAGCCATGCCTGCTGCACCTGGAGTCGAAGACGCCACACCAGCCGTCCCTGGCGCGGCGCCCCCGCCCAGCACCGTCTGGTACTTGGCCGCTGCCGCGTCGAGGATCGCCTGTACCTCTGTCTCGCGCGCTGCAATCTCGGCCTTTTCCTGCTCCACCTCGGCCAGGCGTCGCCGGTGCTCGGCCGCGTCCACCTCGAGGGCCGCCACGGCACTCTGCATCTGCTCGAGGCACGTCGCCAGGTCGGGCAGGGGCCGCATCCGCGGGATGGGTACGGTGCCCTGGACGCCGTGCTCGAGGCCGTCGTCCTCGGTGCGCATCCTGGTTTTCGGCAGGCCGTCCATGCCGGCGCGTGTCTGCGCAGCGTCGTAGGCGAGCCGCCGCTCGACGTCCGAGTCGTCGGCCGCATCGTTGGCTGCCTGGCCGTCGCCGTCGCCGTCGCCGTCACCGCCTACCTCGGCCGCGTTAATCAGCGCCGCCATGTCTTCTTTGCGCTTGCGCCGTGCCGCCCGCTGGGCCTTGCGGCCAATGGAGAGGGCTTCCTTCTCCTCGACAAACTCGTCAAAGCCTTCGCCCAGATCCTCGTCCTCGCGCACAAGCCGCGTCCTTTCCTTTTCCCGCTTCTTGCGCTTCTGCTCGTCCGTCAGCAAGGAAATGTAGTCGCCGCTGGCCTCCGCGTCGTCGTCGTCGTCGGCCATGGCGTCGCCCTCGAGTGCGCGGCGCGCGCGGCGGTCTTTGCGCTCCTGGATTTCCGTGGCCGTCAGCATGGTCGCGACGGGCGGCGGAGGCGCCATGCTGGCGACGGCCGACGACGACGCCGGAGACAGGCCGTGTCGTCCCAGCTCAGACGCGTCAACGACCATGGCGCCGTCGAGTTCAGACGGATCAAGGTCCATGACGTCGCCCTCGTCGTTGTCCCCACCCTCGCCAAGGCGATTCCGCTGCGCCGCCAGGTTTTGTGGGGTGTTGGGCGTGGAGCTCTGCAGCTCATCGAGGTAGGCCTGGCTGTAGCGCGGGCGGCCGTCGTCGTCGTCGCCTGCATCTGGCCGACTCGACTTCTCATCGTCGTCGCTGTCGTCGGTGCGGTGCCGTGTCGGCAAGCGGGCCGAGAGCGACTTGCGAAAGGCATTGGTCTCGAGCACCCGCTGGGTCAGTGACGGCGTGCCGGTGCCGGCGGCGCCTCGCTTGTTTGGCGTGACAACGGCCGGTCCGCTGTCGTCGTCATCGTCGTCGTCATCGCCTCCACCGCTCATTCCTATGCCGCCAAAGGACAGTCGAGACGAGGTAGAAGCTGTCGAGAGTCGTTTCCGGTTCTTTCGCGAGCCAGTCCGACTGAGAGCAGGCCGGACCACTACCGGGCCGTCGTCGTCGTCATTGTTGTTGTTTCCAACGTCGGTTCCACTTGCCGGTGGCTTTGCCGCGTCTTCGTCGGCAGTCGTCGGTCCGCTGGTCTCGTCGTCGCCGCTGCCGCCGGGTTCACCGAGGCCAACTTCGGAGTCGGCAATGTTGATGCTGCGGCGCAGTGCAGACTGTTTCAGAGGTCGCTTGCCGAAACGAATCGGCTGGACGATGGGTTCGGCGGATTGGTCTATGGGCACAAATAGAAGAGAGTCGGTCAGCCTTGAACGCGCATCAGCAATCGCAAAGATCGTGCAAGACGTCATTGTAGAAAGTAAAGGTGGAAGCTTGCACTCACCATCGCCGGCTGGCGCACCACCCCCCTGCGGCTCGTCCACATCGTCAAATGTCGATATCCGCCGTCCCTTGCGCTTTGTGAACAAACTCATGGTGCCAAGTGGTTGTCGATGGAATGGAACAAGAGGAAGAGAATGAGGTCGTGTTTTGCCTCTTTGCGCAGGCTGCGACTGTGGTGTTATCTTATCGCCACGTGACTGTTCTTCGCAGTAGTGGCGTGCCGCTGCCCACCAAAAAATCGAGCCGAAGAGCCTGGCGCCAGCAGGCTATCGACAAACTGCTGTCGCGCTCTGGAGCTTCGCATTTTGACGACACGACCTTGCTTCCTTTCCACACAACCACCTCCCCGTTCCACAACAGCCCACACAGTCGCCACGATGGCACCCGCACAGCCAGAACTGAAGAAGGTAGGCCTTTGCCCTTTACCCAGATATGTCTCGTCCGCCTGTTGTCGGTTGTCGTGTTCGCTGCTAACAGAACCAGTACCTCGACAAGCGGTTGTTTGTCCAGCTCAACGGCAGCCGCAAGGTCATTGGCGTGCTGCGCGGCTACGATGTAAGTCCCTGCGTGCTTCGCAGAAGCGGGGAAAGGGCAAGCGCGCCTGCTAACCAAACAGGTCTTCCTCAACATTGTCCTTGACGAGGCCGTGGAGGAAAAGGACGGCGGCGAGAAGGTCAAGATTGGCATGGTGGTGAGTACAACGATACACTCGCACGACACACTCTCCCCTGGCGCAATGCAGGGCCACGTGCTAACAGCCTAGGTCATCCGTGGCAACTCGATTGTGATGCTCGAGGCGCTGGAGCGCATCGGCGGCGACGACAGACGCCAGCACCAGGAGCGGTGAGCGAGGATCGCGGATGGAGGAGGCGGCAGCAAACAACGACAAACCGGCGATCGGACGGGCGAGGCTCTGCGAGGCCAGCAGCATCAACGGGCAACCAACGACGATGTCCTCGCTTGCGCGATTGTGCTTCGAGCGGTTGCAGTTTGAAAAAGAGACGGCTAAAGAGAAGCACGGCGGATTGTCCTCTCCTTGTGCTTCGCCGTCTCGCGCTTTTGTATTTGGTACTTTTTTTCCTGCGGCCATATGTTTCTATCATGGGTATCTTGTGCACGTTTTTGCTTTATTATTATAACAACGGCAGACCGTTGTGGCGGCGTTGGTGAGACCAAATTCAAAAGTCAAAAGCAGATTGAGGAATCGTGGCAGGTCACGCGTCAGGCATGTGAGTTACAACACGAACCACTACAGTATGACTACGAAGCGACAATGCCATCAATCACAGGGCACGTCGCGCATGTGGGACGCTCTACAAGACGTCTTTACATACCTGGTCCCAGCTCGACGTTTGCGGGCAATCCTCGAGTCGAGCGGCCTAGTCGTTGGGAGATGTTCAGCAAACAGAGTCAAAGAGCAGATGGCAACGTGTATTTCAAGAGAAGTGTCATACTTTTGTAACATGTGTGACATGAATGTCTAGTCGTCCGACCGTCCTTTGTAACGTAAAGAGCAAAAGCAACGCGCGCTCGTAAATGAAAGTCATGTCGTCCCAGAGACTGGTGAGACAAGAAGACAGCGTGTCGGCCGCTGGCCTAGTACTGGTGGCGTGTCGAGTAGTCTTTGGGCGCATTGACCAGACCACGTCCCTTCTTGCCGCCGCGGTAGACGACCTCGATGATGTCGATGAGTTCCTGCTTGTCTTCAATGACAAAGTTGATTTTGTTGTTGTTGCCGGTGCCGAGATCAATCATCATGTGTTTGTTGCGCCAGAAGAACATCATGGTGCAGGCGTCGTAGAGCTCGTACACTAGACGGTTAGCGAGCGGCCTCACGTGTGATGGCAAAGCCAGGAGAGGAAGAGCGGGTGCAGCAAAAACCATGAAGGCGAGCGAAGCGAGGACCAAAAAGAAAAAAAAAAGAAAAAAAAGAAAAAAAAACATACTTTTGTTAAAGTCGGGCACCTGCTGGTTGTCGCAGCAGTAGATGGTGGCAAACTTCATGACGATGGGCGTAATACTGCACAGGATCTTGTCCTGGACCATGCAGTCCGGGTCGGTGTGCTTGCCGAAGCGGATGATGACGACGCGCTCGGTTTCGGTGACGATGGCCTGGTCGACCTGCCAGGCATTTTGGAGTTCGATGGGCCGGAGCGCGGCGACGTTGGGGGTGGAGTCGGCCATCGTGGGATGCAGCGTAGCACGTATACAAGGTGGCGCGCCGTGCAGATGCGTGTGAGTGAATGAGTGGACGTGTGAAGGTGTGTATGAGTCGATGGTCGTCGTCGTGAGGGTAGGCAGAAGGCTGTGAATTTCAAGGCGACGGCTGAAGTCTGGCGGGGCAGACAGATGAGTAATCAGTAAGGCTGAGCACGTGACCTTGTTTGGAAGGCATTTGCTTTGGGCGGTATTTTTTTATACAAGACGCCTTTGATTCGGAACGTAAGGGATGTGGTCCTGTTGCGAAAGTATGTTTGTCCTGATTGGGTTCGTTCATGATGTGAGGCGCTTTGTTCTCGGCTGAGCTTGGACTGGCCCTCATCGGACGTTTATCTCCGTTGATACATGCTTAAAGCGACTTTAGTGGTGCAGTCATTAAGGAAAGGCATTTGCAAGTAAATTTTACTTGTTTAGTTCAAATGGATGTTTATTTCTACTTGTTTCTTTTCCTGGACTTTGGGGTAAAAAAAAACGTTGCGTTAAACATAAATTAAACAATATTTATTGTCATACAAAAAAAAAAAAAAAAAAAAAAAAAAAACTTAGAAGTAAACCTGAAGTATATCATAACCAGTTGTAAGAAAGGACAAAAAAACCATTTTGTACCATCATGTTTCACCCATACGCAGGCGGTTCTACCTCTTTCTCGCCGTCCCGCGCGCGCAGCACCTTTTCAAACAGCTCCACCCGCAGGTCGAGCAGCTGGCGCCGGCCCTCGAGGAGCGCGGCTTCGGCGGGCTCGCGTTCCTGGCGGATGGCCTCGACGCGCGCCTCGGCCTGCTCGGCCTCTGGGTCCAGGACGTCCAGGCAGGCACGCACGCCCTCTTGGGTGTCCTCGATTTCCATGTGGAACAGGTAGTCGGTCAGGGGCGTGTTGACGGCCTGGTCGAGGAGGTTGGCGACGCTGTGGCCCTCGCCGGCGACGGGGACGCGGGGCAGCAGCAGAAACCGCGACAGATGGGCCGGGTCCATCTGCTTGGCGAGGGCGAGATGGTGCTCGGCCTCGGCGAGACAGGCGGGCACCAGCTTGAGACGATCGCGCTCGAGACGGTCGGCACGGGCGGACGAGAAATGGGGGTTCACGATGCTGGCGGCCGACGCGGCGGAGCCGTGGTGCACGCCGTTGGAGTCGACAATGTCCTGCCGCGAGTACTGCAGGGCGGACGCGATGTGGTTCAAGGCGGCGACGACGCTGCCGCGGGCCGCGTTCAGGTGGCCGGCGACGGCCAGGGCATGGGCCAGACGGGCCTGGATGGCATCGTAGACGGCCTGCGCGGCCTGCACGGCGCCCTCGAATGCGTCCTCGTCGCCCTCCCCGACGTCCGGCGACGGCCCGTCGAACACGCCGGCGTACAGCTCGTCCAGCGCATTCAGCGCGGCCGTGTGCTCGTCGTGACGCGCGCGCAGGTCGGCCCGTTGCTGTTTCAGGGCGTCCAAGTCGGCGTCGATGCGGCCCAGCTTGACCCTGGCCTTGGCGGCCCAGGCCTCCGCCTCGTAGTACGCATCTTCCTCGGCCTCGAGCGCCTTGGGGTCGCTCCGATGGAACAGCCTCGACACGGAGCTGCCCGCTCTCTTTTGGTGCTTGTCGAGCGCGGCCCGCTGGTCGCGCAGCTGGGCCAGCAGCGTCGCCACGAGCTGCGAGGCATCGAAGCCCTTGTTCGTGAGGTCGGTAATCTGCGGCGCGAGCTGGCCGAGGGTCGCTTTGGCGTGTTGTGTGGCGGCGACCTGTTGGACAAGGCGATTGCGCTCAGCGGCTGCCGCTACGATGCGCGAGGTGGTGGCCGCGGAGGTGGTGTTCTTGGCATCCTCGGCATCCTTGTAATCTGTCTGGCCTGTCGTCGGATCTGCAGTAGTCCCTTTACTGCCTTTTGCGTCTTTTGCGTCCATCTTGACGGAGGACCTTGCGGCTGCAACTTTGGCGCGATTTGGTGGCAGGCCTGAATCGATATTGCTCCCAAATCATATGCAGTGGCCGCGTCTCAACTTCCCAAAGCGATTAAGCTCCAGGGCCCCCCATACGCAAGTCAGCCTAGCCATCCATGGTAGTGATCCTTGGTCTTGGCGAAGACTTGGACAAGAGGTCAGACGCAGAAGGAAAACGATGTTGTTGATGTGCATTTGATGATTGAATCAAGAACAAGCTTCGAGGACGCCACCATGACGCCATGACGGAAGAGCACAAGAGCACAAGACAATGCCTTCTTCCATGGACACGTCTAGGCCATTGGCCATTGGATGGAGAAAGGAAAGACGTTCGGAGCATTCAGTCCTTTCAGCTAACTCGTGTTTTTGTATTTTTTCTTGTCATGTTGTATTTGTTGTAGTTTTCCGTATTGTTTTCCGTATTTTGCCCATTTCCCCCAGCCCAACCGAGACCCTATTTTGACCTTGTATCCTTGTTTCCCCGTTGGAGTATTTCCCTCGGTGCCAAAACTTGTATTCGAACAGAGTCGCATGCCTATCATTTCATCACTGGTGCGTTTTCTGGCAGCCAAATCGACTTACAGTGGGTGTCTGGCTCGCACCTGCCCAATTCGGGGCGCGGCCTTTCCCGAGATGCTTGACGTCACTTTAGCGCCGCGACTTGTCGTTCGGGCAGTTGTCCTGGCACGTCTCCCCGCTGCTTTTGTTGTTCCCCCGATCTCGGTTTTGGTTCTCGATTCCAATGCACGAGGCCGTCGCCATTGTTGTTCTCGTCCATGTACCCAATGCCGTCCATCTCTCTTCCCAGTTATATATAGTGTTGTATTGGCGTTCCCCAACTGGGACGACAGACGAGGCCATTTTCTCTTTTTTTCTGCTTCGCTGCCTTTTCGCTTCATGATTCCTTCGTGTTGATGCACTGACCTGGTTTGTATTATTCGACGTCATTCCATACCGTTTCTACTTTCAATCTTGGTATTGACATACTACATCGACTGACAGACTGCGGCCAAACAACCTACACCGCGGCCAGCGTCGAAGCACGAACCAAGACGACGACGGCGACAATCTGCCTGCAATCTACACAATCTACGACCCTCGACGCCGTGTTTGCTCGACCAGACCAGCTCCTCTCGACTCTCTCCTGTCCTCTATCTACAAACGGCCGGGCGGCCAGCTCGCAACGTTTGGACCCAGCTGCAACGACTCTCGCCGGCCCAGCCGCCATTCACCAGCGACCATGAACGATCCGACCACCACGGCCCACTTCAAGGACAAGGTGGTGGTGATGCCCGACATCCCCCCCATCGACACGGCTGCCGTCGCCGCCCTGCACCGCCAGCTGCCGCACTATGCCGTCACGCCCATGCACAGCCTGCCGACGCTGGCCGCGGAGCTGGGGATCGGGCACCTGTTGCTGAAAGACGAGTCCAACCGGTTTGGCCTGCCGTCGTTCAAGATCCTGGGCGCGTCGTGGGCCGTCTACAAGGCGCTGGCCCGCGCGGTCGGCCTGCCCAGCACCGGCCCCGACGCCGTGTCCCTCGACGCGCTCGCCGCCGCCGTGCGCGCGCACAACGACCGCCACAACCGCGAAAACGGGCTGCGGCCGCTGCAGATCCTGTCGTGCACCGAGGGCAACTGGGGCCGCGCCGTCGCCCGCATGGCGCGCTACGCCGGCGGCGTGTCGTGCCGGCTGTACGTGCCGGCGTTCATGCCGCAGGCGACGCAGGCGCTGCTGGCGCGCGAGGGCGCCGACGTGCGCGTGGTGCCGGGCGCCAACTACGACGACTGCGTCACGCTCGTGCGCGCCGAGGCCGACCGCGACTCGTCGATGCTGCTGCTGCTGGACGTCGGCCTCGAGGACTACGAGGACGTGCCGCAGTGGGTCGTCGAGGGCTACAGCACGCTGCTGGCCGAGGCGGACGCGCAGGTCCGGCAGGCCACGGGCGGCCGCCCGGCGACGCACGTCGTCGTGCCCGTCGGCGTGGGGTCCATTGCCCAGGCGGTCACGGCGCACTACAAGGCGCCGCACGGGCGCGGCGGCGCCGTGGGGACCGGCCAGGCCATGCAGGAGAGCATCGAGTCGGCCGAGGCGCTGGCCAACGACGTGGACGACGACGCCAAAGGCCCAGACGACCACGCCGACACAGACACCCCCGTCACGTCCGTCCTCACCGTCGAGGCCGACACCGCCGCCTGCCTGCGCGCCTCGCAGGCCGTCGGCCGCCGCGTCACCGTCGCCACCGCCGACACCATCATGTGCGGCCTGAACTGCGGCACCCTGTCGCGCAACGCCTGGCCCATCCTCCATGCCGGCGTGGACTACTCGGTCGCCGTCTCCGACCGCCAGGCCCACGTGGCCGTCCAGCAGCTGCTCAACGCCGACAGCAGTGTCGTGGGCGTGGACGCGGACGCGGACGCAGACGGCGACGAGCCGATGGGCGGCACCGACCAAAAGACGAGCGAGAGCGACGCGGCGGGTGCAAAGGGCGTGGCCGCGGGGCCGTGTGGTGCGGCGACGCTGGCTGGTCTGCGCAAGATTTGCTCCGAGGCACGGGATGTTGTCAAGGTGCAGCAGGATTCGGTGGTGGTCTTGATTTGCACCGAGGGCGCGAGGGAGTATGCCGTGCCATTTGTATGAGTAAAGCGGGCGACACTGACCCGCAGGGGGGATTTACGGTGATCCATCCATTGCGAGCGAAGCGAGGACAACAAGTAGAGAATAAATAAATAAATAAATAAATAAATAAATAAATAAATAAATAAATAAATAAATAAATAAATAAATAAATAAATAAATAAATAAATAAATAAACAGGGCCTGAGCGCAGCCCAAGAACCAAGGCCATGGTGCTTGGATCGCCTTGCGAGCAAACCGTAACGGAGCTTGGATCGCCGTGTTTCCGTCCCCTGTCGATTTGTCGATGTGATGCGGAGAAAATGCAAGAATAGCCGGCTACCCCTGCAAATGTTGGAAGAAGGGGGCGACTGCAGACGAGCCGTGTTTTACTACGACATTATCCTAGGAAACGGAGAAGGCAACGCGGAAGGAGAATGAGGAAGACAAAAGAGGAAAAAAGGAAAGACGAGACGAGCCGTGATCCACGTGATAACTGACCAAGTGTTCAGACGTAGTGTTGGACGTTGGTTCCGACGTTGAGTTCTGTGTCAAGGGTGACGATGCTTTTTCGTTCCTTTTCTGTAGATGCGTTTCTGCTTGCCTTTCGTTTTCCACGCTCTGCATTCTGTATTTGCTCCGGCCACGTACTGCTGACACGTGCACGGCATTTCACTGCGTTTCTTTCCTGTGTCGTTATATCTATTTTTTATTTTTACTTTCTTTGGTTACTTCCTCATTCACTACGACCATATCCATGCTTCATCTCTGTCTAGATACCAACTGACTTGAACCTGACCCCCCGGCCCCCCCCCC